ATACTCTTTAAGGAAACTGTGAAGGAGAGGGAGACTATAAAATAACAGAGGAGGGAGTGATAAAGGGAAGAGGGAGGAATTTCATTGGGAGGGTTTTATTTATTTTTAGAATTGTTAAGATTAGAGGATATTTATGAACTAAGGTGTACAAAGGCAGCTTAAATTTATAGAAGAGCTGGGTTTGGTAAAAGCAAAGTCCCAGAGAAGGGAAGAAAGGATAGGATTTAACGTGCATCAAGAGTTTCTAGTAATGCCAAGGGTATGAGATGGATGGTTACAGGTGACAACAGGGTAGGTGGAAAGGTTAAGGTTAGCAAAGAGAGCTCATGACAGATGGCAGTAAGGAGATAAGGGAGGAGTATTTAGAAATCCATAGTCCAATTTCCTTCAGCAATAAGGTAATAAGGTCTTTAATGCCCACTGTGTTCTGTTCTAGGGACTTGCTCTCTTAAGTAAGATGCTGTGAATCAGAGTCCTCTCTGCACTCACCTCAGTTATCACTGAGCTTTAGCTTTAAGAAAGCTCTCTTTACACTACTCTTTCTTTCTGCTCTCCCGTTCCTTTCTTCTGTTTTGTTTTTTTTTTAATCTCTTGCATACATTTTCTCCCCCTACCCCTTCTCCTCTTCTTTCCCCAGGGATCCTTCTCTTCCTCATCTTCTCCTGCACACACATCTCTCTTGACTCCATCTGTTCCCTTTCTCTTCCTTTCCCTCAAATTAGCCAAAACAAGGAAACAAAATCACTGTTCAGTTTTTATATTTAAATGACTGAACATTTGCTTTTATGATTATTTTTTAAAAACAAGTACACTGAAACTGTTATGCTTCTTTCTCTAAATCTAAACGTGCACAAGAGTCTCAATTAGTTTTTTTCTGTTGGTTCTAATCCTTGATAAAATTAACTGTCCCCCTTTCCATTAGTGCTCATGGAGAAGGAAGCAGAATGTCTCACACAATGTTTATTTTACACACAGTGTTGACTCCATAAGAGAGGACTTAAATGTGATTGTCTAAAGAAAATGGCATGCTTTCAAAGTTTTGTACATTGTGCTAACAAAGAAAACATCAAAGGAAAAAAAAAATACAACATTCATAGTGATGGCCATATAGTCAGTGTTACAACTACACAGAGGAGAATACAAAAACAAATTTATGGCCAAAGAAAACTGGTTGCTTCTGGAAATCTCATGCTGTCTGTTGCTAGCCAAGAAAATCACTGTCTTCTTCATTCCTCTGACCTGGCAACAAGAGAGCTGAAGGCCCCATGTTGCCCTAACAACAGCAGTTGACACTCCCCATTCTGCTGAAAGGGCACTACCCAGTCCCACACAGCACCCCAGGTCTTGACTCTGACCATGGGATAGCAGGAACAGACACACAACTCTGTGTGACACTGACTTTTTGCTTTTTTCAGCCATAAGTTTTTGACTGTGCTTCAGCAGAACCAATCCTCAACACTGATTATGATTTCTGTTGAGAGTAGGTATTTAAAAATTATATCCACTGTTAAATTCTGAGCCTAGCCTCCAAGTAGTCTAAATTATTAGTCATTACCTTTAGAAACAGTGCTCGAATTTATGAATTCTAAACAATAACTTCAATTATAAACTATTTGCTAAAATGTCTTGACATGCTTTTTCTAAGGCAATCTAGAAAAGGCAATTAAATCTCTTTAATTTTAAAAAAATTGAATTGCTTCATTTTTATTGGAGAATAGGAAGTAAAGAGCAAGACACTTTAGAGAGTACCAAGGGATGAAGCTGGGGAGGGACTGCATAAGAAGTTCTGCATTCACAGAAATAAAGCCACATATATATGGACAACTAATCTTAGACAAAGGAACAAAGACATGCAATGGAACACGAACAGTTTGTTCAATAAATGGTTCTGGGAAAACTGGCCCACCACATGCAAAAGAATGAAACTAGACCACTACCTTTCACCGTGCACAAAAATCAACTCAAAATGGGTAAGAGAACTGGACATAAGACCTGAAACCAGGGCCTCCCCTGGTGGCACAGCGGTTGAGCACTGGGTTGCAAAGCTGCCTGCAGCCTCTGCAGCGCCGGTTCGATCCCCGGCTGCTCCCCGGCCACCGGAGGAGGGTCCCACATGGCGCGCAGACCTTCTCCTGTCGCCCTCTGCTCCCCTCAGCAGTGTACCTCGGTCCTTCTGCCTGCTCTGCTCCCTGCTCTGGCTCTGTGAATTCTCTCACCCTCCCGCGCTTCTGACTGTACCCAGCGTTTGTATAAATAAATAAATAAATCTTTAAAAAATAAACAAATAAATTAAAAAAAAAAATAAAAAACCCTGAAACCATAAAATGTATAGAAGAAAATATAGGTAAAACACTATAAGACATACATCTCAGTAACATCTTTAAAGATTCAGCACCCAAAGCAAAGAAAGTGAAGGAAAAGATAAACAGCTGAAATAATATCAAACTGAAAAGCTTCTGTACAGCAAAAGAGATGTTAACCAAAACAAAGAGACACCCCACTGATTGGGAAAAAAAATCTTTGTATTCCATACAACAGATAAGGGACTGATCACAAAGATACACATAGAACTCACACAACTCAACAAAAGCAAAGTAAACAATCCAGTCAAGAAATGGGCAGAAGAACTTAAAAGACACTTCTCCAAAGAGGAAATGCAAATGGCCAACAGGCATATGAAAAATGTTCAACATCCCTTATAATCAGGGAAATGCAAATCAAAATCACAATGAAATACCACCTTACAACAGTGAGAATGGCACATATCAAAAAAACTAGCAACAATAAATGTTGGCGAAGATGTGGTGAAAAAGGAACTCTCCTACATTGCTGGTGAGAGTGCAAACTGGTCCAACCACTATGGAAAGCTGTCTGGAGGTTCCTCAGTCTACTAAAAATGGAGCTACCATACGACCTGGCAATTCCACTCCTAGGGATCTACCCAAAAGATACAAAAACATTGATTCAAAAGAATACCTGGGGGCCTCCCTGATGGTGCAAGGGGTGAAAATGCAACCTATGACGCTCACCACAGCCACTACAGCACAAGTTTGATCTCCGGCCAGGGAGGTGACCCACATGGTGTAGCAGACCTCTCCTGACTCTCCCGCTGCTCCCCTTGGCAGTGTATTTCAGTCAGTCTGCCTGTTCTGCTCCCCACTCTGTCTCTGGTGAATCCTCTCACCCCCCCCAAATTCTGGCCTGAACCCCAGTTCTTGTATGTGTAAATAAATCAATCTTTTAAAAAAAAAAAAAAAGAATACCTGCACCCCTATGTTTATTGCAGCACTATTTACAGTAGGTAAAACCTGGAAACAACCTAAATGCCCAAAAATAGATGACTGGATCAAGAAGATGTGGTACATATACACCATGGAATACTATTCAGCAATAAAAAAAGATCAAACTTATGTCATTTGCAGCAACAAGAATGGCGCTAGGGCCTCCCCTGGTGGCGCAGCGGTTGAGCACTGGGCTGCAAAGCTGGCCGCAGCCTCTGCAGCGCCGGTTCAATCCCCGGCCACCAGCGAGGGTCCTACATGGCGTGCAGACCTCTCCTGCTGCCCAATGCTCCCATCAGCAGTGTACTTCGGTCCTTCTGCCTGCCCTGCTCCCTGCTCTGGCTCTGATGAATTCTCTCACCCTCCCGCTCTTCTGACTGTCCCCAATGCTTGTATAAATAAATAAATAAATCTTTAAAAAAAAAAAAATGGTGCTAGAAGGAATTATGCTCAGTGGAATAAGTCAAAAGGAAAAAGAAAAATATCAGATGGTTTCACTTATAGGAGGAATATAAAATAACAATACAAAACACAACAAAACAAAACAAAAACAGACAGACAATTATAAACCAGAGACATCCCGTAGGGGAGGGGGAGGAATTGGAGGGAGAGAGGAAGGCACACAGGCGACTGAGGGGGGAAAAAAAGCAAACATTGTTTAAAAGTGAAAAATTATGTTATATATATATATATATATATATATATATATATATATTTTTTTTTTTAGTAGTTCTGGGTTCAGATTCCCAGAAATTCAGGACACACTGGCGGGGTGGCGCATGCCAACCCCCCAGGCTTAGGCACTGAGAGTACACTGGGCTTGTTGGCCTGATCGTCATAGCTAAAGTTGAGGCATGAGCCAGAAAGCAACCCTTACAACCCTACAGATGAGATCAAATTTGTCTCTGTGCTTTCAAACCTCTTGAGCTGTTCCACATGCATTCATTCCAGACAGCACACAGTGCTACCATGTATGCTTCCACAGCAGGCTCCTCACACTCTCCTTTCCTTAGTGCTGGGTCGTACTGTCTTTCACCAAAGAATGAAAGGACCTAATAAAATAATTCACAGTAAATTACTAGCTGGAGAGAATGTAATTTCATTATATTCTTTTTGGTGGCATTTGAATTTTAAAGAAGGGTTTTAGAAAGCAATCCCTAATCCAAAGAGGACACAATCTTGGAGGGGAATTTCAGTCAGTGCGCAGGCAACTGGGGAGGTGCTGAGGGCCAAGCAGCATATGCTTCTGTTCCTAAGGATCTTCCCATGGGAGATTATCTATTCAACAAGTCTTTTACAAAATGATCTTTTGCCATGGATACATTAAAATTATTTTGAAGTATTATTTTCATTATCCAAAAGAGACGTCAAACCTTTTTTCAGTCCATTTCTGACACCCAAACTGTGCTTTATTATAAAATCTTAAGAGAATCTAAATGCTTTAAAAGTATCTGTAAAGGTAAACAAAGCATTTGCCTGTATTGGTATGGCTTCTTGGGTACCTAAGTACATAAAATTGATCCCTCGCCGATTTGATCACTTAAAAATTGAAAACACGAAATCCCCACGAGTTTGCTTTGTCAGTTTGATGGAACCAGAACTCCCATCACAACTGGCAAGGTCTCCCTTGCATGTAATTTGAGATAAGTGATTTTTGCTTGCTAACTTAAGCTTTTGTTTCACTTTTCTCCCTTCCATTCTCCCACTTATATTTCTCAGGACAAATGTTGCCTTTCACTTCACTGCCAGTCCTTCTCAACCTCAGGTAAGCGAAGAGTTCCGAGGTTACAAGTTTACCTGTTGGTGTTACTCAAATAAATCATGGTAACAGGTAGAGTTAGCATGTGGTACTGACTTTCACATTTGTTACTGGGATTTTGGATACAGCATTTAATCTTATCACCTGAAATAATTAGAAATGGGAGGCATGGCATTTGTCTGTAGATGTTACTTGGTTCAATCTTTATTAAGCAAATCATGTGTCTACTATGCTCCAAACCAGTGCTGGAATGAACTAGGTGCCAGGGACAGAGAAATGAAGGCAGGAAATGCAACTTCTACCCTCATGGACTTTGTAATTCTGATAGGAGTGTGGGGATAGATAATAGAAAGCCACCACTAATAACCAACTGATTTAGAAATAGAATAAAAATAAGACAGATTTCATTTCCACAGTGTTACCAGTAGAATAGTTTCTCCTGTCATGAAGAGAAAAAACAGGTATGTTAACAAAAATTATTAGAGAAGTTAGATGTTCTTATTGTGCTGTCCATTAAACAATAATCACAAATAGAATAAATAAATGAAAACTCTGATGAACTAAGGATGCTTTCTTGGTAACACTTCAAGCTACCTTTCTTTTTTTCCCCCCATAGTTTCTTAAAGAGTAAAGTCTATTTGATAGCAAGTTTGTTTTATTTTTTAATTTATTTATGCATACAAGAATTGGGGTGTAGGCCAGAGGTCTGGGGTGCTAAGAGGAGACACCAGAGACAGAATGGAGAGCAGAGCAGGTGGACCTACTGCAATACACTGCTGAAGGGAGGTGTGGGCAAGACAGGAGAGGTCTTCTGTGCCACATGGGTTAGTTCCCTGGTAAGGGATCGAACTCAGACCACAGTGGCTGGTGATAGCTTTACAGCGCTGAGACTTTAAGCCCTGTGCCACCAGGGAGGGCCTATTCTATAACAAGTTTAAAACATTCATTTAATAATCTGATCTTTATTGTAAATCTGCAGGCTGTAGTACAGTTTTGGTCATAAATGGCTACTTAGTTTTTGCTTTGGACATACTAAAACTAAGATTAACATTTTATATGGACATTGCTGTAGCTCCACTACAAATACTGGTATGCTGGTAAATATTTAACAATTGCTTCTCAGAGAGAATGCCCTGATTTGTTGTGTTTGCCCATTTCTGCAGTTTAAATACCTCTATTATGGCCAATTTCAAGGGGCCAACACCATGGGAAATATTGGGAAATATTAGTTCCCCCAAATCTATTTAAGCTGACTCCCACACACCTTTCAAGATTTAAATGTGCCCAGCAGAGAAAACCTCCACAGTGCACATATACTGTCACCCACGGACAGAAGAGGACTACAGGCCCACAATCCATTGCCCTCAACATTTATTGGCCACTTAATTCATGAAATATTTCAAAGCACTTCATGCTAGGTACAGAGGGAGGTATCTAGAAAAGGAAACTTGGGCCCCAATGGCAAGAGTTCAGTCTTATAGTCGTGAACAAAGCTGTAATAAATGACACACTGAATGAATGTTGCAATGTACTTTGTAGATTGAAAGTCAGTGATGATTATATATTATGGCTTCTTTATTATTTAAAAAAGTATGTAAATATGAATGCCTAAATACTTTGCAAATAAACACCAAACTAGAGGAAAATATCCTTAGGATAAGCTAATAAAACAAAAGGAGATTCTTTATTGTTTATGAAAATCTTACTTTACTCTTAACTGTTCCCTTTTTGGCCTGTATTTTATATACTCTTCAACTGCAAGAAAGTTTTCTATTCCCAAAAACTTCTCACCCAAGCTATTATACATTCTCAGACAACCTTGCAGGTTATAGAAACTGGGTAAGTCATAAGGACTCAGATGGTGATGTTTAGCCTAAATTCCAGCCATTACTTTGGGTATTAGTCATTTTGCTTTTCTCTAAAAGATTATCAAGGCAAGAGTCAAAAACTCTTATTTGTGGTTTACAGTAATTTAGAGATAAAGAAGGTGGATAATACTCTGGCATGTAGATTAAGACTTCAGCAGACTTCTACTGCTTGCACAAAACCAATTCTTAGGTTACACAGGCACATATATTATGTTCATTATGGCTAACAGTGACCAGAGTGATGCTCTTGAATTATAAAGTATGTTTCTCATATGAACCAAAAGCACCTCTTGGGAATTCCAGAGTGCTCACCTTTAGGAGAGCCCTGAATAATATGTATCTGAATCAAGCTCCACACGAAAGCACAAAATGAAGTGGGCTCTTGGGAGTGCTGCCATCTGTTACAAGGCGTGAACAGATTTCCAAACAGAAGCGTTAATGACGTTCTTTATTCTTGAGATTATTTGTCCCCATCAGGATATAGATTTTTGAAAACCATTCTATTTTTATAGGCTTGGTTCTCAGAATAAGGTAAGTAAAGAGGATATCAGAATGCAAAATTAGGTTTTGACATATTTTTTCCTCTCCTTTAAAGTGATAGGTTTATTAGAATGCTAAGATACAGGGCTTATTTGGTTGGTTTCCTCAAAATCTTTTTTTCCCCTCAAAATCTTAATCATGAATTTAATATCAAGCTTTGCAACCTTTAAATTAATAGGCAGACGTTCCCTTTCTTCATTATTAGCAGCATGTTTAAAACAGGGTTAACAGATGTTTCCCGTGGATTCATAATCTGAATAGGTTGACCGCTTTCTATTATAAATGTTTCCTGATTCTGATATACTTTTAAAGATATCTCAACTTGCTCAAAACTGTAAACATACTTCTGGGGGGCAGATAAAGGGTTTGGTCTTTGAATCAAAATGTACCCTCACTATCTTCCAGCTGTGAAATCAATTTTTTTGCAAAAAGTCTAAGGGAAGGGTGAGTCTAGTGCTAATTCTTGTCTATAGGAAAGTGGTTAAGGTTCTCAGAGAACAGGTTTATCTACTTTTCAAGTGGAATTTAGCATTTCAAAATGACCTCGCCAGAGTAAATCTTGTCTCATATTACATCCCACATATCCCTAACTTAAAGGGTTGGAGGGATCTCAAGTTGAAAGAGAATAAAGTATAGCAAAGTTTGGTTGAGAATGAAATACCAAAATACTGTCAAAAATGAAATGTGCCAACATTGTATGAAATGGCTCCTTTGTCCTATTTACTGCTGTATCCTAATGTCTGGCATACAGCCCTGCACAGGGCATTTGCTCAATATGAAGGAGCTGACTGAACTAATGGAGGCTTATTGATATTTACATCTAAATTTTGTGCCTAATATCAGAAAAAACAATCATATTCATCTGAAAATAATTTGAGTTTGTGACTGTAAACATTTCCTAATATTAACAAGTCAATTCTTCTTATTTTCAGTATTTTCTGTACAAATTTCCTGAAGATGTAGACTCAGTCATCATTAAAGTCATGTCTGAAATGGCTTACCCCTGCTCCGTAGTTTCAGTCCAGAATATCATGGTGAGTTTTAATAACTTGTCCATTTTTCAATATGGAGCATTATATTGTCTCAGGATAAATGAAAGAGAAGGATGGAAAAACATGCTATCCTCTTACTGTGTATCTTTAGCAAAACTGCTAGATTTTAAAAAAAAAGTAGCATTTTGTGCATATAAGTGGGCAGTCTATATTTGGAGACACTGACTTGGAGAATAAGAGTGTAGCTGACTATTCACCAAAATAAACAAAGGAAGGAAGGAAGGGAGGATCATGACAAAGAACAGGTTGTGGGCTGCACAAGAAAAATAGAAATGTAGCATTTGTTCTGTTTTTAAACTTTTATTGTAGCAATAGGCCCTTTCTGTCTCATAAAGTATTAACTTTAAAATGGGAAAGGTATTATAAACTTTAAAACAATCTTTTCAGTTCTTTGATACAAGGTGACCTTGACTTTAGAGGACAAGGCACCAAGACTTAGTAAGAGTATTTCATGACTGCTCTGGATAAACTTTTCATGTTTTCTCATTTAATAAGGAACTTCCTGCTCTGTGATCCAGATAGTATTGGTGTTACGTGTAATATAATATTTTATGACATGTTGATGCTTTCCTCCTTCTTCATCATGCACATTACAGTGCCCAGTGTATGATCTCGACCACAATGTGGAATTTAATGGTGTCTATCAGTCCATGACCAAGAAGGCTGCCATCACACTACAGGTAAGACATGAATTCTATGGTCGATATTGTCAATGACACTGTGTAGTTTACAAGCAGTTTTCCTACTGGACCAGCATCCAAAAGGATCACCATTCACTGTGTCGCTTGGATCTCTTTCCTTTCTGATCCATTTTAAAACAATGATTGCCACACTTGAAACCAAAGCTGGAAATGGTAGCCAATGCTACTTTATCTGGTGCCCTTTGGAATCTTGGGAACCCACGATGCAGTGAGATATGTATTGGAGAGGTACTGGAAGAAGATTCCAATCTATTCATTGGGAGATAGAAATGAAGGATAAAGTTTATCTAATGCATATAAAGCAATTAAACATATTCTAATAATCTGTATCAGTAACAATAACCAAAAGAAGATTTCAACTTTGGACAGCACGGACCAGTTCAAAGGAATATAGACCACATTTAAGCAGTAGTTCTCTTTTTTGGCATTTGTAACAAAATTATTATTTCAATAGTAATTTTATAATAAAGTATAAATGCATCATGTCACTATGTTTTCAAAGATTGTGTCCCTGCCTTTGGGTGGTATTTACTCGCAGTATCTAAACTTGATTTGTTCTCGATGGTAAAATACTGTCTACTGAATAACAAGCAAAGAATGAGGAGAGGTTAATTATATTTATAATTCAGATATCAGACCTAAACATTTCTATCAGTCATACTTTAATTCTCTAGCGTCATTTACTACCTGCTTTTATTCATTCGTGGATAAGGAACTAGGACACAAGGAGACAGAGAAAGTCAAAGCCACAACTATAGCTCAGGTCTCCTGACAAGACTCTTTACTTCCCTAACTTAAATTGCTTATTTTCCTGTTCACAATATGACTTTTAGGAAATTTTTTCATTAGATTTTCAAATAATAAAAACCTTACATGGTGAACCTAAAGCTGTTCTATAAAGTATATTAATTTAAAAATACACAAGTATTAATTATTAAACAGATTGTTGACATTTTTCATATGGGGCCTATTACATTTCTAAATACTCAAGTGGGCACAAGACTGAACTCAGAACAGTCTATCTATTTAACTTCTTGGAGGTAACAACTATTGTGAATAATATGGAGTAGATCATGGGTATGTGAAGACTTTCTCAGAAGTTAGGGAACAGGGATGAACTTTACTTTTCTTCTTTTTCCTTTTTCTTTCTACCCCTACCACCATGGACTTTCTATCTTCTCACTATCTTTTTTTACCTGCTTATCATAAGATTGTTATGTCTTATGCAGAAGAAGGATTTTCCAGGCGAGCAGTTCTTCATAGTATTTGTGATAAAGCCTGAAGATTATGCCTGTGGAGGATCGTTCTTCATACAGGGTAAGAGACAGTAAGGAACACTTGCTATTTAGAAAAACTTAATAGAACAGAATGGAAAGGAAACCAAAAGCTCATATTGACCCCTAACAACTATTTCTAGTTCCCACTAAATAAGAATCATCATCAGTGTCTTGTAAAGCAGTCTGAAAGATACTTGAGAAAAATACAAAGGGAAGAAAATGATATAGCTACACATATTACTGATACTACAAACTGTAATTTAGTACACTGCATCTTTTCAAAGCCTTGTGCTCCCTCACGTCGTGTGAGTTTGGCTCTTTACGCAACAAATATTTGTTATTATATAGTAATGATTTTATACAGCAGATTAAGGTCCATTTTCTAAGATTGGTTTGGTAGCTAATCTTACATAATGGAACCACTTATATTTTTCAGTAGTCATCATTTCCACAAGAATGTACAAGGAAAATCCTCAATTCTGGTTGTCAAAATTATAACTGGTAAGATAGTAAGAAAGCAAAGTAGGACAACTTATCCCAATGGTAGAGGATGTGTGAGATTTTAGGCATAGTACAAATGGTTGTAGCTAACTGCCCAAAAACTACCTTGAGAATGAAATATGTCATTAACTGAAAACAAAGACCCCTAGTGGTTGATATCATGCATGATGAACACAGAGGGTTCCCTTGATACTCCGTTGTCTCTTAACAGTTTCATAATTTTGCCAATGCCCAATGTTCTCTTGTAAAGCACAAGCCTTTTGATGACATATATGTGAGGAGAAACAAATTCTCATTGGCTAGAAAAATACAAACCAAAAGATGATGTAACTTTCTATTTTTTGCAGCAATTTTCTTCAGATATCTGTGGCATACCAAGCCATGTGGATATGGGGGAAAGGGTAAAGCCTTTTTCATTAGAGAAAGGAGGCTGAAGAATCATTAGTGTCAGTGCCACCAAAATGCCCCCAAGCAATGGCCAAATTTAAAGTTCTAAATATTAGGTAGCTTGAAGGAATTGGGTTAGGTTTTCTCTAGTTCTTACTAAAAGGAAATTCAGTAACGAGAGTTAACTGTCATTTTTGAACAACTGCTCAGATGAGAGGCCAAGAACTTACTGTCTGATTCATTGTGCCTTGTTCTTTTTTTAATCAGAAAAGGAGAACCAGACCTGGAATCTACAACGAACAAAGAACCTTAAAGTGACCATTGTTCCTTCTATCAAAGGTCAGAATTGTGTTAGGACTTAGTGGAGAGATTCATCTGTCAGGAAAGCTATTATGTAGCTAAAGCCATCCTTTAAGAGAAAAACATCATTAATGTTTACCTTAAATATAGAAGATAGAATAGAGGATTTTGTTAATTCTCCCCTAGCAAGAAAGGAAATTCAATTATGAAGTTATATACAGGAAGTCCCATCTCAGCTCCCCTGGAAAGTCATCACTGTGGACAAAGTCTGGGAGACCGCCAGTAGCTTTGCTGCTTTGAATGGAAACGTCTTAGGACTTAAGAATGTGTGTGATGGACATGGGCCCTGGAAGCTGTTCTACCCCATACATGGTTCTCTCTCACCCTAAGGGCATATTGACGAAAATTCTTTCTCTTTCCTCAGAATCTGTTTATGTGAAATCCATTCTTCTCAGTTTCCTCATCTTCTTCTCCTTCTACTTGGGATGTCTGTTGGTTGCCTTTGTCCATTGTATCAGGTAAGTCAAGAGTTTCAAGAAAGTTTAACTCTCTGCCTGTCTACATAGTGATTGCAGAGCCCTGTTGATTAAATTCAAATCTAACTCAGCCATGTTTTAACTGTGTGACCATGGGCAAAGTTACTTAACTTCTCTGTGCATGTATAAATGCAGTGTTTACATCAATGTCCTACACAGAGTATGTTCTGGTAGAGTTACTTATTTTCATGGTTGATGAAAAAGAAATGTATTTTGTGTATTTTGGAGTCTCTAAGACTCAAGTCTTAGAGAATACAGGAAATGACGATTCTTCCTAACATGGAGATTTAGAAAGAGCTTTAAACAGTCCATCAAAAGGTAAAATTAGTCCCTAAAATAAATCTTGTGGCATAATAAATAGCAAGAGTAATATACTTTGATACATAACAGTGTTTTCCTACTGTAATAACATCAATTTTTCAGTAAAATAAATCTTGAAAATAAATAACAAGGAGATAATCTGACTATAATTTAACCAGGGAAATTTCCCTTCCCAAGAGCTGGAGGCCCCTAACAAAAAGAACTTCAGTCTTTTCTTGTGTCTCTCAGTATGGCTGAACCTTGAGAATGCCATACTTTGCTACGGTCTCTGAGAAACAACTACAAAAGAATGGCAGGAGGTTTACAATAAGCAAATGTTCTTTCTCCTCTTGACCATGTAAAGGAAACACAGCCAGCATTAAAGTTTTCTCATGGGAAAAATGAATCCCATCTGTTAAAAAAAACCTCATGGCTATCACAGTGATAAAACTATTTCAAAGAGACAGACCTACCTCTGACTCAAGAAGTTATTCCCTTTTGTGATCTTTATGAAATTTTTCAGTTGAGAAACTATCTTAAAAACCCAAGGATTGCCAATGACCACATCTGGGACAATTTGAGCCCCAAAACAATTAAGGAGAATAGTGAATTATAAACCACTAATAAAAACAGAAACTGATGAATGTATATTGATGGGGGGAAAAGGAAAGAGGGAGGAAAGGAAGGACTTAAAAACCTGCAGATACATATCCAATACATTCAATACTAAAACAGATAAACATTAGGGAAAGAAGCTATTCGCAAAGACTCACATAGAAATGCGTACTCTCGCCAACAGTGGAATGCCCAAAGCTAACTGATAAATATGGAGGGAGTGATAAGATTTGGAAAATCATTATTTTGCATACACTGGGTTAAGAATCATCAATGGATACTAAAATTAATAGGAAAATCTGATGAGGATCAAGATATCTGCACCGCCTTAAAGTATAACCACCACAACTCTGTAACAATATAGAGAAAGAGTAATAATTATATACAGTGGAGAAATCAGAACAAGAATGACTGGGTGATCAAAATATCACTGAGAGGAAGATGGGCTTTGTGTGCCTCACAACGATAGTAGACATGACACTCTGAGAAGGACACAGCTATGCAATATTCCATCAGAAATGAATATTTTGAATATATCATGAGGGAAAACTAGACAAACTCAAAATGACAAATATCCTATTGAAATGTAACATAGAAAAGAAAGACTGTGAAAAGGTTCCAAAGTGAAGGAGACTAAAGAGATATGACAACTAAAGATAATACCTGATCTCAAACTGGATCTTTTCACTAGGAGAAAAGTAGGCAAAAAGGACATTATACTATAAATGACATTACAATTTTATAATATGGACAGGTTAACATACCAATGTTAAACTTGCTGAATTTGACTATACTGCAGTTATGTATGAGAATATCTTTATTCTTTGGAAATAATTAAGCATAAAAGTTTATGACATATCCAACTCACTTTCAAATGGTTCAGAAAACATTTATACATATATGTGAATATGGAGACACATATAGACACAGAGAATGATAAAGCAAATAGGCTAATATGTTAACAATAGTGAATCTAGATAAAGGATATATGGGTACTCTATATTCTATTCTCATTCTTACAACTTCTCTATAAGTTTTAAGTTATTTTCAAATAAAAATTGAAAACAAAAATGCAAGTCTACAGGCAAGTATATCTAGAAAGTATACACATGATAATCAGCTCAATTAGTTTATCAGGTCATAATCACTAGTATTTATCAAGTACCTCACCTCTGCCAGACACTGTGCTGAGCTAAGCAGATTATCTCATTGAATGCTCCACAGCAACAGTACTAATATTATCACCATTTGATGGTTAAGGAAATTGAGGCTTAGCAATCTGACCAATAATTCACAGCCAGTAAGTGAAGAAACTATGATCTGAACCCAGGCAGCATGACTTCAGGATCTTAGCTCTAAGGCAGGTTGATCAAGATAGCTCTGGAGTGGTGAAAGCATGTGAAGGAGGACAATCCACTTGGTCTCTCATCCTCCAGCAGGTCAGTCTTGGCTTGGCCAAGATAGCAGAAAAGAATAAGACCTCCTTAAGATGTAGGTTCACAGGCATAACAATATTCCCCCTCATTCTTTTGGCCAAAACAAGCCATAAATACTACCTGCCTTACCATGGCTTTCCAATCAGGAGTCACTGAATTCCCTTTATTAACTTCAAGACTTAGCACAAATGTTAGGTAAAGTTTGTTCAAACAATCCAAAACACATTATCTTTTATGAGTTCATATAATTGCTTGCCAGTTAATATCACTAAAATTGTTAAAGGGGGGGGTCTCAGGTGGCACAGCAGGTTGACCACTGCACCATGAAGCAGTCCGCAGCTTATGCAGTGCTGGTTCAATCCGGGCCAGCCAGCGAGAATCCCACATGGCATGGCAGACCTCCCCTGTCATGGCCGCTGCTCCCCTCAGCAGTGTATTTTGTCAGTCTGCCTGTTCTGCTCCCTGCTCTGTCTCTGGTGAATCTGCTCACCCTCCTGCGCCTCTGACCTGTACCCCAGCTCTTGCATAAAAATAAATAAATCTTAAAAAACAAAAAAACAGTGCTATCAAGCTATAGCCAACCACTGCAGCATGAGTTCCATCCCGTGGCCAGGGAGCTGACCCACATGGCACAGCAGACCTCTCCTGATTCGCCCACAGCTCCCCTCAGCAGTGTATTTCAGTGGATCTGCCTGTTCTGCTCCCCACTCTCTCTGATAAATCCTATCACTCCCCACATCTCTGGCTTACACCTCAGTTATTGTATGCATAAATAAATCTTTTTAAAAATATATAAATAAAATAAAATAGTTAAAAAGGGACTTCACTAGATCTTCATTTGCCATCTGAACAGTCAGGCCAAACAATAATTGCTCTCATTAATTATATTACTTGTTTATTCAACAAATATTTAGTATAATCTCCTATGTGCCAGGCCCTGTCCTAGAAGTTAAGATTATAGTGGTAAACAAGACAAACTAGATTCCTACTTTGATAGAGCCTGTAATATACAGAGAACCATGAACAAGCAAGAAAACAGTATCAGCTAGTGACAGGAGGGAAATAATACAACAGTGTAATAGAGAATGACTGGATTAGGGAAGTGACTTTAGCTTTGATTTGTTCAGCAGGGAAAACCTCTTAGAACCAAGATGTGAATGGAAAGAAAAAAACACCCATGTAAGGATATGGAGAAAGAGGGCCCAGGGAGAGAACAAGAGCAAAGTCCCTGAGACAGGGATGAGTTTGCTGTGTCTAGGGACAAAAGTATGAAGGGATGTTCTTTCTCCAAACATACCAGAATCAGAACCCATCCAAAAATAAATTAGCACATGGGTCAAATCCCACATTGAAATTGGCCAAGGTTTGAATAGAAAGGCTAAAGTATTGATTCATGCTACTATTAGATAAACCTTGAAAGCACTGTGATAAGTGAACGAAGCCAGTCAAAAAACAAGCACATCTGGTCCCTAACTTTCTTCCTTCCCTACACCAAACTCAGAAGGGAAGTTCATTTTGGGGGAAGAAAATAATTCACATGTTATTTTGTAATAAGCATTCCCAAATGATATAGCTGACTTTTTAAAATAACAGCTGCGTTGATAAATAATTCAAACAAATGGTGTTGAGGGAGCTGGGTATCCACATTAATAAGAAAAAAAAAAATGAAGCTGTATCCCTGGACCTGACACCATATATAAAAATTAACTCAAATGGATCAAAGATGTAAATATAAGAACTACATCTATAAAACCAGTAGAAGAAAATATAGTGCTAAATTTTTGTGATCTAGATTAGGCAGTATTTTCTTAAATATGATACTAAAGACACAAGTTAGCCAAACAAAAAAATAGGGAAGGTGGATGGACTTCATTAAAATTGAAATGTTTGCGCCTTTAAAGGACATTATCAAGGAAGTAAAAATACAATACGCAAAATTACAAAAATGTTTACAAATCATAAGAGTCTAGTATCCAAACCATATAAAAAATTCTTACAACCCAATGACAAAAAGAAAAATAACTCCACATTGAAATTGGCCAGGGTTTAAATAGAAAGTTCTCCCAACAAAGAAATACTTATGGCCAAGAAGCATATGACAAATATTCAACATCATTAGCCACCAGGGATATGCAAGTCAAAATTATACTGAGAGTTCACTTCCACTAGGATGGCTAAATTAAAATAATTTAAATATTTTAATATTGTTAATGCATTTGACAAGGAACCTTATACTGACTAATGAACCTTATACTGACTAATGAACTGCTAATGGGTTTGAGACTTTGTTGGAGGATGATAAAAATATAGAATTAGATAATAGTGACAGTAGCACAATTTTGTGAACATACTAAAATTCACTGAATTATACACATGAAAGGGTGAATTTTATGGTATATGAATTATATTTGAAAATGAATGAATGAACTTATGCAGATATGTCTATGCCTAAGAGTAGAATTACTAGGTTCATACAGTAACTCTTATACTTAACAGCTGAGAAACTGCCAAATTGTTTTCCAAAGTGGTTACTCCATTTTACAGTCCTACGAGTAATGTATGAGGGCTCTAATTTCTCTACACCCAAAGGTTAATTTTTAAGAGATTTCAGCATACTAATCTGCAACAAAGTCTGTAAATGTAAAAAGCAAAGTTTCCTGTCTTAGGAGCATATGTATGTGCTTGTTTGCAGGTTTCAGAGAAAATCCATTGATGGCAGCTTTGGTTCTAATGATGGTAAGAAAAATCCCTGGTTGCAATTCAAAATGAGGCTGAGGAGTGCAGCAACATCCTATTCGATACTTTTGTGTGTCTGCTTTTTGTAATTTCCAAACCCTCTCCCTAAATTGCTCGCCCACAGAATAGTCTAATGTGCAATTTTCTACAAAAATCATAACTCGTGAACACCAAGTTTTACAGCTGATAAATACTGAGATAGTGAGTTCACACTAAGAAGCTTTACTAGGAGTGTCCCTTAAAAATATTCTCTGGGACATAAATTTTTCATACCTATCTTATGCTAAAGATGGTTTGTCAACAATAGTAAGAATTTACTTTGTCAACTCTGATAGACTTTTTCTTCTTCCCAAATTAAAATAGAGCCATTATTTTTCATATATTTAGAAAACTGAAATATTTCAGACAGGCAAATATAATAAAGAGTAATATAAATTTGTGGAACACAGAGTAATTGATTATACAACCATTGTTATATGTCCTTTCCTCCATTCTGAGGATTTGAACAAAGGAATTCAACTGTCTGATCATTTTATCAAAATTTTAAAAAATGTAAATGTTCTTATTTTTGAAAAGCTTAAATCAGCATGAGTTTGTGCTCATAAACTATTTGGCATAGAGAGAAAATTTAGAAAAGAAATGATGAGGTAAGACTTGATTTTTAGTCACACATAGCAGATGTTTAGTTGTGTGTTTCCTACACTTAAATGAGCCCAGAGAATCTTAGAAAGACACGAAATCGCCCCCCACCCGCTCCCAGCAGGAATATTTCTGCCTCTGCTGGAGGGCTCACTTTTCCTGCCTTCCTTTGGCCTTTGTCTTCCTTAATGTCAGCATGTCTATTTTTCCAGCCACCCAGGCAATTTGTCCTAATAAACATTCAACTGCTAATATAATAAGACTGTAAAGAACACCTGCTCCAGTCTGTAAAATGCCAAGAACTACATTTTTGCCCTTTTTGCTCCAGCACCCCCCAGACTATGCACTTATTTTAGGCCTACATGAACTTTTAGAAAGTCTGACTGTTTATTATCCACTGGTGCTCTCTGAATAAATGATGTTATTTTTATTGCATAAGTGAAATCATTTTATTATTATAATAATGAAAAGAATTTCATGTTCAAAAAAGTGTCCTGAATAACAGAATATAGGGGACTTGTGCCAGGTCAGTGGCAAAGATCAGGAAGGCTCTGAAAAATAAGAGCTAGAGATGCCTTCATATATCAACAGGAAAGGAAAGGGAAGGAAGAAAAGAAAGGAAGAAGGGGGGCGGGAAAGAGAGGGAGAGGGAAAAAGGGAGGGGGGAGGGATATTGGTTATGATTCCGGTGGCTGCAAGTAACCAGAAAAACACATCTCAAACATGCTTAAATGATACATAGGCTCCTCTCTCCCTAAAAGCTGAGCAGAAGGGTGGGCTTCATGGATGAGTGAATCTGATAGCTGGTCCATTGCCCTGCCATTCCCTTGGCTCTGCTTTACTCCCAGTATGTAAGTCAGGTTTATGCCCTCATTTTTCAAAGTCCAGAGGAAAGAATTTTTTCAGAAGTACCCAGAAACCTTTTCTCATATTTCATTAACCTTGAGTAAATCATACACTTATTATTAAAATATGTCACTGCAAAGGGGCAGGTTTACCTACAGGAAACTGAAGTCTACTTGTAGAATGAGAGTGAATTCATCTTTCTCTGAGACTAAAGTTATCAAACTCTACATTATTGACATTACAGGTGAGTTAATTCTCAGTAGTTGGGGGGTCTATCCTTCACCTATTAGAATTCAGTTCATGTCTTCCTGGTGACCACTAAAAATTTTAGTCTCCAGATATTGCCACAATGTCATTCTGGAGGCAAGACAGTCTCCCAAACTTCCCTAGCCCTGTTGAGAATCACTGACTTAAATACATGGACTTCCAGGCACAGGTAAGAATACCCAAACAAAACCTCAGGTTAATAAGCAGGGAATGATGTTCACACAAAGGACTCTGAAACAGAGAGGAAATAAGGACCCTTCATAATGCAGAGAGGTTACAGGGAAAGATGACAAGACCTCCAATGTCATATGACCATTAGTGAGACTTGGATGTCTAATATAAAAGCAGAGAAGACAAACTACCCGAGAGGAAAGGTAGTTAGTAACTCTGTCAGGCATATCAAACAGAACATTGAGTATCCAGACTGGTGTAAAAGACAAAGACGCAAATGAGGGACACTAACTGGAAGTTAGTATGAGACATTCAGTGGAGGGAACTTTGGAGGAAAGGAAGGATGCATAAATGCTTTTCTCTCCCAAGGGCCAGGATCACTGTGACTGTGGAAGCTACAGGAAGTCCAATGGAGCTCAGAGCTATAGGAAAGTGTCCAGAGAAAATACTAGGAGCAGTGTCCAAAAGGGGAAGGGAATCCCAATAGATATGGTATGACCTTTGCTCAAATCAATGTGGGCTAGACATATGAGGAATCTGGCTAATGTTTTCATCTTAGGTATGACTGAGTTGAAAGAAATGGAGCTGCCCTTAAGCTGCCAAATTGGTAGCAGCTCTCTCAGTCAGGTAATGCATTTGGAAAACCTCTTGGCTACATTTGTTTTTCTTTGATTTGTCTGCAGCTACTTAAGTTGCATCTGAAATACCTCTACTCTGGCTCCTACAACATCAGAAAGCAAAGAGATTTCATTCAGAACTCAAGGGACAAAGAAGGAGATAAGACACTAGCATTCTGGTGAAATAAAAATAGCATTGGTAAAGAGCTGCTTCAGCCTGAGAAGGAACCTTTTTACTGCAGTATTAATGGGTGGGCAGTCTATTCATCACTTCACACTTAAACCAGGGGTGTCCGTGGTAATATGAGAGGTACCAGAAAGACTTTGTGCTCTAAAAAACGTTTCACATTTTACATAGTTGTTAGAGTGGGTACAGAAATTCAGCTACCAACCAGAGAAGTATTCCTCACAGGCCTCTGGAATCACATGAACATAGCTATAGCATAAGAGGTAACTTTTTCAAGTGAGAGAGCTTGACAAACATGACACATTTATAGATGTAAGAACCAAGTGGCCAATGGAATCCTTCCCTGGATAGGAATCTCTTTTACTGAACCATCTCTTGGCAAAGAGCAGGGTCCAGTGGAAATAAGACAGAATGTGTTGAATTTGGAGGAGCCAGGGAGCACCAGCCAGCATCAGGCTCAGTGACAATGGATCTCAAACTCTAGTCCTGACTATACTCTTTTTTTCCCAATTTTCTTGCCCAGATTTTTCTTTTACATGAATTTTACTTTTACATCTGCAAAGATTAATGGCCTTCTTCATTTTCTTCTCAACTTTTGAAATAAAATATGAAACTAGTTACCACAGGAAATCAACTGGCATGAAAATGAAATTGATCAGCTTGTTCATATCACTTCTGAATCCCTCTTCAGTTTCTAACTTCCACAGTCTTGAGACTGAAGGGGGTAAAACAACTATAAATATGAAGTCCCTGAAAGAGGTCATTAACATCCTTAACAAAAAGAAATTAAATTTTTCAAAGAAAGCAGGCATGCAAGCATATTTGATTCCATTTTAGTAGACAGATGGCAAAGAGTTTGTGCTCAGAGAAAAACATACCAAATTCCTCATTAAAAGGAGATAATTCACAAACCTGATGTTTGCTTATTCACAGTCAGAACATTCTGGTGTGTTATACAAATTAATATTTTGTGTTTAATTCTGATTTCTAAATACCATGCAGTTGAATATAAATATAGCTCACCTCTGAAACCATCAATCTCACTAAAAACTTGGGAGAAAATGCTGTGGTTTTTGCACGCTAAGCAGTCTTCCACCTAAGAAAAATTCAAAAGAACACTGTTATCCCATGGTGGCCAACCCCATATTTAAATTGTGCATAAAAAGTGCAAAATGAAAACATTTGTTACATGCTGACAATTGTAATGCACATGAAATTACTGATGTTCTTACACAGAACCAGTGGCATTGCAGGTGCCTCAGAGTGAACAGGGCTAGATAACATCAAAACCAGACTCTGCTCAATCATAAGCCAGAGCAGAGCACAGCAATCAGTGTTAACACCCAAATCTGAACAGATCTACACAGCTGGCTTTTCCTTTATAATGAATTTGCTGCTAACAAAACAGTGATTGTTTTTTGTTTGATGCCGTGCTTGGATTTTAGTTTTTGTTTTTTTATTTTGATTACACACACATAAAAACAATGGTTCCCAAATGATTTCACCTCCTGCCACAAGTGAACTCAAGCATTTTGCTATGTGCAGTTCTGCTTGCCATATCAAAAGACCTCCAGTAATACCAAAATGCCAGAAATTCTGGGTTTTATGATTTCGATGTCATTCTTCACTTTTAATTTGCACATTCAATATTTTCAGAAACTGCATCTTAAGCAAGGGACATAAGGCTAATGACTACAATGAGGAAAATTAAGCTTGTAAGGAGAAAAACGTGAAAGACACTGAAGGAAATATAAAATACTATATTGGGGATGAGACCAATACAGTGGTTTCTGTGAGACGCCCCTTCACAAACTAGAGAGATGCTAGTGTAACCTCACCCCAATAAGGAATCATTGGCAAACAGCAGCAGCCAATCTAAAAGGCAAAGATTGTGCTTTGATATGTCTGTAAAATGAGTTTATTATAGAGGAAATGCAAATGAGCCTCAACCTTCTTTTCTCTTTTTGAAAGATATTGTTGAGCACCCCAGGAAAGTGAGTAACTCGCCCACTTCCAGTTATTCATACTTTGAAGGGAAATCCCTGTATTCTTCTTTTCAATTAAGAAGATAAATTTTAACTGAAACCAATACAATGAACCACTCTTCATCCACCATCTGAGGGACTCTGGGCAAATTACTTGATCTCTCCACACCTCTATTCTGTCATCTTAAAAATGGTGATAATGTTACAGGACAGGGAGAGGGGCAGCCCAAGCCCCGCAAACCTGCCCATTCTAAATGGGTTCTGCCATCCGCCGCATCAACACAAAACACATGAGACTTTAATGGGAAGGATCTTTAATAAAACTAGGAAACAATACAGGTAAGGCAAAGAGTCCAGTTTCTAAATGAAGCACCCAAAGTTACCCGTTCCCTCGTGGGTAAAAGTCCATCCAAATGGGATTGGCCCAGAGCAAGGCCTCAAGGCCTGCCACAAGTCTAAAGCACCTTCCAGTGGGGACCCACAGAAAAGAGTCAGAAACAACCAAACAAGCCCGGAAGGAAAAGAGCAAAATCAACATCAAGATAAAAGCTGCCATTGTCACCTCCCCACGGGTCTCACCCACATCTGTGTCACCCAGTCCACGACCAAAAGACAAGCGCAGTTTCTTCACGTGTCTCTAGGCTCCATGCGCCTCCTCCAGGTCGCCTGGCTCCATCCTGCTTCCTTCCTCAGTCTCTTCTGCAGCTTCTCCTCTTCCTGCTCAGCTCCACCCTCCCTTGGGTGGGGCAGGGAACCTGGAACTTCCCCCTTTCCTGGGGACCACCCTGTTACAATAATAGTACACACCTCATAGAACTGTTGAAGAATTAAACAAGTAAATTCTTATAAAGAACTTAAAAAACTACCTGACACAGTAAGTTTTCATTAAATTTTAGTAGTGGTAGTGGTAGATATAGTAGCAGTAACAGCAGCAGCAGCAGTAACAGTACCAGCACTAGTGGTACTGGTAGTGACAGTTGTTACAGTGAAAAATAATAGTACCAGAAGCAGCAGCAAAGCCTTATGCCATAACTATGCTAAATCTGTCCCACATCAAAAAACACGTATTACACACATATTCTCATAAATTATTGTGCTCAAAATATTTAATCCCTCCTATTTAAGAGTCTGAAAATAGCCTATTTCTTTGCCTTGAAGTTGAATGAAAAGCACTGATGGTATTACATTAAGTTACATATTTATTGGTGAGCCCAAGAAAGGCCAGGTAACATCCACTTTCTCTAAATAATGAGAAATAAATCAAGGGATCGCCAAGCATAGCATAATGTCAGGGGGTCTTCATTCTGGAAGCCAAGATTCTGATTCTGAGGCCCCTGGGAACAGCCTTACTTACCAGGAATGCTGTGTTAACAAAAGGCCTTTGGTTTTCCATCTGAGCTAACTCTTGGCTAAGGTACACTGAAGGGAGAAGGAAACTGAGTCTGAAAGGCCATTGAATTTTCTGTTTGAATGTTTGAACTTCAAAATTGTATTACTTTTGTTCATGGAAATCAAAGAGTAAAAAACATATGAAACCTACAAAGTTGTTATGCAAATCGATCGATGTTTTTACTGCCCACCAATGGAAATGAGTAAGTCTGCTGAAGAGAGCTGACTTGATAAACAATGAACTGTTTGGGAAGGGGGATGGTTCTTTTACATGTTTTATGCGCTACAGCATTAACGTAATAGAATATCCTCAGTACAGGTCTTCACTGAAAACATTTCCTGACATTAACAGATGAGAATGATCAGTTAACTCAGACTTTTTGTCTGTAGTGTGAGGCAAGCAATCTAACCTCTCAGAAAGGAAATATTTTATCAAAATTCCCAACAGCCAGAGAATATCCAGACCCTTGACAAAGTCCAGGAGGCAGCAAAGAGACATTCTCCTGCACCTGCACAGATGAGTATGGGTCCTGGATATACTGTGACCCTAAAGTCAAAGAAACTGCTCTGCTTATTGGTGGTTTCTGTTCTCTTTGCTCATTTTCACAAATTCTCAGACATGGATAAACTCAATGAATTGGCAGTGATGCTGTTGTCAATGTGGCATTAACAAATACATAGAGAAGACCGGGAGATGATGTTCTGTGATGCTTGTGGGGTGGCTCCAGATGACGCCAAAGACCAGGAGGAATAAGGGCAGTCTCCTTGCTATGAGGGGTACTTTATTGGAAGTTTGAGGAGCATTATCCTAGAATTTATTTTCTCTCACTGCCAATAGCGAATCGGCAACAGAAATACCTCTTCCTCCTCTTAAATATCCCTCAAAATAACTCATCTTTCTCCCATCCTTAGTTCATGTTGTCATCACTTATTGCTCCCAGGAGTGCAGTAATTACTTTCCTGTCTGGGCTTGTCCTGCCTATAGGCACTGATATATGCTACAACAAATAAACTTCTAAATATCAGTGCTCTAATCATACATGTTTATTTCTGGCATTTCATGCTCCTTTACTCTTGTGTTTCTGCACTATTGTCAAGCAGGAATCCACCATTTTTCTCCCTAAGTATACAGTAAATGTTTTAGGCTCTGGACTATATAGTCTCTATTGCAATTGCTCAACTTCTCTTTGCACGGGAGTCAAAAGCATACCTAATGAATGTGACTGTTTCAACAGAACTTGAACTACTAAACAGAACAGAACTAAAATTTGAATATCATAATTTTCACTATCGGTCATAAAATACTCTTTTTCTTTTGTTTTTTTCTTCAACCATTATTTAAAAACCATTCTTTTTTTTTTTTTTTTAAAGATTTATTTATTTATACAAAGACTGGTGCACAGGCCAGAGGCGTAGGAGGTGAGAGAATCCACCAGAGACAGAGCAGGGAGCAGAATAGGCAGAAGGACTGAAATACACTGCTGAGGGGAGCAGTGTGCACGACAGGAGAGGTCTGCCGCACCATGTGGGAATCTCCCCGGCCAGCTAGGAATCAAACCAGCGCCGTGGAGGCTGCTTCACAGTGCTAAGCTCAACCCACTGCACCACTGGGGAGGCCCTAAAAACCATTCTTATTAGTTCAAGAGCTAAAAAGGTGGCAGGCTAGATTTGCTGTATAGAACATAGTTTGGTGACTCCTGTATTAGAGCAAAAAGAAAATCAAATTTAAAATACTGTGACCTGATGACTTGAACTACCTAGAGCTGTGTTCTTCTGTTTTAGTAACTGAATATAAAGTGTCTGTCTTTTCTTTTTAACAGGCTCTGGAAATATGGTGGTGTCACATCCCATTACTGCCAGTACCCCTGAAGGGAGCAATTATGGAGCAATAGGTATTTCCTATAATGAGTCCCTACCTGGAAGAGTTTCTTAATTCTCCAGAAAATAGGATATAAAAGGCCCTCCAGCCACTAGTAACTTTGAGAGGCAGCAAGGCAGTAATTACATAAGATTGCATTTTATTTATTTATAAGATAAATTGGTTGGATGATGTGGAAGGTTCCTTTATCTCCAGTTCTATTATTTTACTTCTTGGATCTACTAGCACACTTGAACAGAATTCCGCACAATGGCTGCCATCAACTCCCAAGGCCTTCACAGGCATTTTTTTTTTTTTATTCCCAGCCTGAGTTTAGGGCATGAAAGATGTATCAGAACCTGATGTTAGGGAGCCTGACATCAACTGACCAGTTGTTTCATTCTCAGGTTTTAGTGGAGTAAGGGTGACCAGAGGACTAAGGGCTGCAAGTGAACATGGTTGTTGCCTAACAACCTTTCATTTTGGCTAACTTCACAGTTCAACTTGCTCAGTCACCCAATCACCGGGCAGCCCCAGTGATTACGATGTGGCCTGAAAGGAAAAGAATTCCTGTCTTGTTAGAGCAGGATGCCCTGATGCCTCCATGTACTTTCATGATGTTTGTGGGCCTGCAAATGGTGACCTTAAAATTCTGGTGTAGAGCAACTGGGAATCTTGTATTCCTGCCCTATTATTCTGTAACTTCTAGAAGCATGTGGGCTCAGTGCAAGCTACTTATTTCTGGCTCTGCAAGAACAGGGCTTTTTTTTGGTTTTTTTAAAAAACCATCTGAATAGAAGAAATAAAGCGGAAGGTAGGCTCAGCTCATGTGCTCATCAAGCTGCACAAATTCCCATCTGCTCTGGGAAAAATTCACAAGAACACAAGGATTCTTCCTGAGAATGCCATTTTCATTATATAATCATAGATACAGCATGTGCGAGATTTCTGTGTATAAATACCTAATCCATAAAAAAATGTGAATGCTTGCACAGACATGGGGTAGATGCTATGTGCATATGTATGTTTATATATTTGTGTTCATATTTTAAAATATGAAATATGGAATATAAGCATAATCTAATTTTTGCACCAAATAGTTAACAGAGCAGGTGCCTTTATATTCTTAATATGTATTCAGCCTTAGAAACAGATAATTTCAATATAAAAATAGAAGAGGAAAATTAAAAATCCACTGAGGAGGAACTGAGAAAAAGAACATGTCCCAGGGAGTTCTTACCAACACAGCATTCTCAAGTATGAATCAGCACTGTGCTCTTTAGAGAGAGGAATGGGATTCATGAGTTCTTCTTGGCTTTTGAAGGGAGACAGTTTTCTATTTCAGATGAATCAAGTTCCAGCCCTGGCAGGCAGATGTCCTCCTCCGACGGTGGGCAGCCAGGTCAATCCGACACAGACAGCTCCGTGGAGGAGAGCGATTTCGACACCATGCCAGATATTGAGAGTGATAAAAATATCATTCGGACCAAGGTACCTCTGCCTGCCCGTAGTCTTGCAGATGGCAGCCAAATATAAGTTCAGTAAGGTTTCGGTTTCCTTGAATTTTATTTTCTTCAGAGAAAGTCAATTTTTCCAGAGGACTTTCAGATAAAACATAACTACAGGCTGAAAGCAATCCTCTGTTAATTAGCACTTCTTTTTGGATGAAGAAAGTGAGGAGATTAAAGAGAAGAGAGCATTAAAACATTCTCAGGGTCCGAAATGCCTGGCCATGGACAACAAGGATAAAGGGATGCACCAGATGGAAGAAAAGATTCACATGAGGTTATACCTGGGGAAACCAACTGGTTCTGCATGTATCATCCTACAAGAGGAGAGGCTATTTCCTTCTGGTGATACTTTGTTATATTGTGTTATATCCAGTGAGGGACATAAAGATGAACTGCATAGACTCAAGCCTGTTCTTCAAGAGCCACATAGTGCGCACCTCTGAAAATGGGGAATTGTCTATTTTTGAGATAAAAGAAAATTCCCAGTAGGTTTCCCACGTTAGTCAGTCAATCCTTAACATCCCAAGGGAAATACACGGGACTGTTAATAAGGTATTCCAGCAAATGCAAATTGAAAGAAAAATCTTGTTAAATAACTGCAATCCCTACTGGGAGATTAACTTGAAATTTGTAAAGTTCCCCTTTGTATCTTATGCAAGAAAATCTAAGTACAGCTTTGTATTTTTTTTTCTTTTTTTTTTTTTTTTTTGCAACCCAGATGTTCCTTTACCTGTCAGATCTGTCCAGGAAAGACCGGAGAATTGTGAGCAAAAAATATAAGATTTATTTTTGGTAAGTCAATGACCAGCAGGACCATGGTTCTTTCAAATAATAAAATCAGCTCTCTTTATAAAAGCCACGGTCACTTTTGTCACAAGTTTCAATGTCTAATGAGCACAGATATAGGCATTTAAAGGAACCATGATAACTGGTCCTAAATTATATAAATACAAAGTAAAAATTTCAAAGTTTAGGGAACACAGTAAATCTTGCAGAAAAATAACATTAATGTATCACTACCTGCCATGAAACACTCTAAGCTGCAGCCATTCACTCTGCTCCTCACCAGGTCTCACTCTTGGAAAAGGGACTAGTGGTCTAGAGCATCTCAGTGTGGTGGAAAATACCCTGGGAGAAGATGATACCACTAGCCAGAGACTAAAGACTCAATGGTCAAACACACAGATGCAGCCTCCTTCCCCAGGGAGTTGTCCCTCCCCTCAGACATGCTAACATTTGTGACAGCTCTTCCCATCTCTTCATGAATGCCCTTTTATTGGGATGCTGATAGTAGAGAGAAACAAGGGACAATGGTGGTCTCATGGAATTTCATAGTGAGACCATCTTTTGGGTCTAAAAGGCAACTAATCTAAGGGAGCCACGTCCTCTTCGAGGGATCCATCCCTCCTTACATTCTGCTCTCTTTTAATTTAAAAACATCCTAAAGAGATAGGCCCTCATTAATAATTTGTTTAACCAGAAGCAAGTATTATCTGCACTGTTTTGCCAGTGAGTGTACCAGTGGAAGACTGGAGAAACAAGAACAGCATAATCAGCTTCTAATTACTTTTGTGAGTTACCTAGGAAGTTATGAGATGAAAGAACTCTTGGGAAAAAAAATGAACAGAGATCCCACTGTTAATTTAAAAATAATTTTTCTGGTTCTTTCGGCCTGCTTAGGAACATCATCACCATTGCTGTGTTTTATGCACTGCCTGTAATTGAGCTGGTCATCACCTACCAGACAGTAAGTGCCACCCCAAACCCTAGAATCCTAGCTGTCATTCTGCAGGGGAAAATATTTGCTGTGACTTACAGTGTCCAAGCTGTTCTCCACACCAATTAGGTCAGAGTCGGAAAGTAAAACCAGGCTTCAGTATTTTTTTTGTGTGTGTGCCCAATATTTATTTTGCAAGATAAAAGAGATGACGTTTTATCTACCTAAAGAATAAAAGATTTGCTCTACCACATATCAATATTGACTAAACTCCCGGTGATTCCAATTCTCAGGCAACTTTGAGAGTCAGTGGCCAATAATATTTAGCCAACTTCATACTTATGTAACAATGACTTTAAGAGGTTTGAGCACCACTGTTTATAATCTAAATATTCTCTGACTACTTCTCTGTCAGAATCTAGAGCTGTGCTGTGGTCTGGCAAGGTTCTAATGTCAGAGATGATGATAAATATGGAAAACTGACACATCTCCCATCTGCCTGCCCTGTGGTTATTCTAATCACCGAGAGGCTGGGATAGCTCCAGGCCCTCCCAATATTCATCTAGAAAACAGGACACATCACAAGAGTCCTAATAGGAAAGTCTCATTGTTAGCATCCTTTCATACTTCTTTAATAATGAGAATAAAGAAAATGCACTCCATTGAATTCCACCTTGAGGCCACCTAATGAGAGACATAGAATATTTCAATTCAAAGCAAGATGGTAGCATTTAAAGGATATGTGCTGATGCTGTGCAAAGCACAGCTAATGGGCAGATAATGACCCATCCCTTGCTGAGAACATTCCCTGGCTACACTGTTGATTACCCACAGTATGTCACTGTGAGCATTGTCCAGTTTTTATGACTTCAGGCTAGGCTCAGATGACAAAGAAAAATTGCACCTCCTCTTTTTGCTCTTAATTTTACAGGTGGTAAATGTCACTGGCAACCAGGACATCTGCTACTACAACTTCCTCTGTGCTCACCCCTTGGGGGTGCTGAGGTAAGTTCAGTTCTCTGGTTGTTCATGAGACATTTAGAGATGCCTTAGTGTATAATGTTTAATTTCAGTTTTTAAAGACACTAAAAACCACTGTTGGAGACTACCCCAGTAAAGAGTAAAAAGGAATGATTTCCAGAAGTTGAGAACAGGTATGTTTCTCTCCTTTCTATGTGGGGGCCTCAGGAAACATTCCTAAGAATAATCTGCTGAGGAGAGGGCAGGTTATGAGCTGCTAATACATCTAATCCATTATACAACCTCATGCGATGAATATATTCTTACTATCCCCTTTTTATTTTTTATTTTATTTTATTTATGCATACAAGAGCTGGGGTACAGTCCAGAGATGCGGGAGGTGAGAGGATTCACCAGAGACAGAGTAGGGCACAGAACAGGCAGACTGACTGAAATACATTGCTGAGGGGAGCAGCAGGCGACACAGGAGAGGTCTGCTTCGCCACGTGGGTTGCTCTCTGGCCGGCTGGGGATTGAACTTGTGCTGCAGAGGCTGCGAATTGCTTCATAGTGCAGTGCCTAACCCCTTGTGCCACCAGGAAGGCCCCTATCCCCTTTTTAGATGAAGACACTTAAAGCTTAGAAAGTGAAGGACTCACTAAAAGGCTCTCGACTATTAATGATGGTGGCTTTCCAACCCAGGCCTGCTGCCTCCCAGGCCATGCTGCAGCCACCAGAACAGAAGTACACAGAGCAGAATGGTGAAGTGCACAGAGCATTTGCCTGGCTGTTGAGAATCTGGCTTCTTTTTTTTTTTTTTTAAAGATTTATTTATTTATTTATATAAGCACTGGGTACAGTCAGAAGTGCGGGAGGGTGAGAGAATTCACCAGAGCCAGAGCAGGGAGCAGAGCAGGCAGAATTACCGAAGTACAGTGCTGAGGGGAGCAGCGGGCTGCAGGAGAGGTCTGCGCGCCATGTGGGACCCTCCTCTGGTGGCCAGGGAGCAGCTGGGGATCGAACCGTCGCTGCAGAGGCTGCGGGCAGCTTCGCAACCCAGCGCTCAACCGCTGCGCCACCGGGGAGGCCCGAGAATCTGGCTTCTTATTCCACAACTGAACCAAACTCCTTTTACTGAAATAAAGCTGCCTGGCTAGGTCTATCTGACACTTATCATGAAATTCAGTCACACAGCTAAATACCGACACACAGCATGGGTCTATCGGCATCCACTGTCACAGTGTAGCTGAAACACTTGGCCCCTCACTAGTGAAGCTCTCTTTCCTAGGATCCCTTCCATGCCAGTACTATTGGGGCAAGAGAGGTTTGGGTGAGTGTTAGGGAAGCAGAGCAGACACCCTGAAGAGGAAATGGACATATTATCACAGACTAATCATCCTGAGGTGAAGCAATTAAGTTAGAGAGGATTTCTGATGACATGCTGTTCCTGACATCTTATGAAAAGGTTATGGAGGAGGGAGAGGGATCAGAGAGAAGGAGGGAAGAGCACAGGGGACCGAAGTGATGGTGCACGAGTGCACTGTTGAAGGAAACTCTGTGGAGACTACACCTGAGGGGGTCAGGGGAAGGAAATATTGTTTAAAAATGAACAATGCTATAAATACAGGGGTGCAGGTGCCCTTTGGAATTACTGTTTCTGTGTCATTTGGGTAAATACCTAGGAGTGGAATTGCTGGATCATATGGAAGCTCTATGTTTAGTAGGTCAAGAAATCTCCACACAGCTCTCCATAGTGGTTGGAGAGCTTTGCACTCCCACCAGCAGTGCAGGAGAGTTCCTTTTTCTCCACACCCTCGCCAACATTTGCTGTTGCTAGTTTTTTTAATATGTGCCATTCTCACTGGTGTGAGATGGTATCTCATGGTAGTTTTGATTTGCATTTCCCTGATTGCAAGTGATGTTGAACAATTTTTCATATGCCTGTTGGCCATTTGCATTTCTTCTTCAGAGAAGTTTCTTTTTAGCTCTTCTGCCCATTTTTTGACTGGATTATTTTCTTTGTTTTTGTTGAGTCTCGTCAGCTCTTTGTAGATTTTTGTGATCAGTCCTTTATTGTTAGTGTTGTGTGCAAAAATGTTCTCCCAGTCGGTGGGGTTTCTCTTTGTTTTTGTTATTGTCTCTTTTGCTGTGCAGAAGCTCTTTAATTTGATGTAGTCCCAGCTGTTGATCTTTGCCTTCACTATCACTGTTTTGGGTGATGTGTCTGTAAAGATGTCTCTGAGGTGCATGTCATGTAGTGTTTCGCCTATATTTCCTTCTATGTATTTTATGGTTTCAGGTCTTATGTCTAGTTCTTTAATCCAAATGCCCAAAAACAGATGACTGGATCAAGAAGATGTGGTACATATATACAATGGAATATTACTCAGCAATCAAAAAAGATAAACACATGCAGTTTGCTGCAACATGGATGAAGCTAGAAGGGATCATGCTCAGCAAAATAAGTCAGAAAGAAAAAGAAATATACCGGATGGTCTCACTCATAACAGGAATTTAGAAAACCTAAATAAGAGACCAGGAAAAAGACTAATCAATACAAAGTAAAAATCACAATCAACAAGCAACTATAAACCAGAGACACACTACGGGGGGGGGGGGTAAGGGGGCGGGGAAAGGAAGGACTAAAGTCAAAATAAGGGGGGGGTGCAATTGTATGGGGAATATAACCACAATGAAAATGCATACATTGTGCAAAGATGAAAAAAGATGTAAGAATTATATAAAATAAAATATTTAAATAAAAATAAATAAATAAAATTTTAAAAATGAACGATGATGTAAAAAAATATTAAAAAAAATTAAAAATACATATTCTACAAATAAAAGGGTTATGGCGCAAAACATGGGATGCTGAGTTCATTCATTATTTAAACGCATTTCTTGACTCTCTTGGTTTCTCTGGCCTTTTAGTGCCTTCAACAACATCCTCAGTAACCTGGGCCATGTGCTTCTGGGCTTCCTCTTCCTGCTCATAGTCTTACGCCGGGACATTCTCCATCGAAGAGCCCTGGAAGCCAAGGACATCTTTGCCATGGTGAGAAGAATGTGGGTAAACTGGAGGAGGGAGCTAGGAAGGATTACAATTCCAAACAGGATCGATGGGAAGGGACGTCTGGTTTGATGGTATGACAACAGATTGTGTATAATGAGCCACATGAGACCAGAAGCCTGGGTTTCCAGATTCTGTGGCTATGTCACTAATTGGTATCTTTCTACTGACCATGCTTTCTCCTTTTTCAGGAGTATGGGATTCCCAAACACTTTGGTCTCTTCTATGCTATGGGCATTGCATTGATGATGGAAGGCGTGCTCAGTGCTTGTTATCATGTCTGCCCTAATTACTCCAACTTCCAATTCGGTAATTAAAATTTACAGCAACTACACAGACTTGAGTTAGAGGAGTCTTATACTGGGACCCTCTCCAAAATACTTAAAACCATGCCTGCAAAAATTAAATGACATTTTATGTGAGCTGAACTGATCTGATGGCACCTCACTACCCATCATGGTTTCTCCATGTTGTACCATTTATTGTCTCTGATCACCTTTTGGACTAGAAGACACTCAAACACTGAATGTGGATCACATGGCGAGACCTGAAGGTGGGCATCGGGTTAAACATTAGGCCACAAGCCAGACAGAATCCACCAACAGATATTTGGAAAGATCCCTCCATATAATGTGGCCTAATGTAGCAATTAAACTGTTTTGGGATAAAAGTACTAGAAAATTCACTTCAACTTGGATTAAATAATAAGAACATTTATCAGCTGACTGAGCATGCAGAGGTGGAAAGTGGCTGGTTTATGTGGCAGCAGTTGCTCTGTGATCCCTTTGTGCTTAGCTGGATTTTGATTTTATCTTCAGGCTATCTTCCCTCATGTGGTAAAAATAACTACAGCAGGTACTAGTTTCCTATCTCCACCCCATAATGAGGCAGCAAACTAGCTTATAGGTGGCTTCACAAAGAAGCAAGGAAACTTCTGTTAAAAATCTACCCAGATAGGGCCTCCCCTGGTGGCACAGCGGTTGAGCACTGGGCTGCGGGGCTGCCACAGCCTCTGCAGCTCCGGTTCGATCCCCGGCGACCAGCGAGGGTCCCACGTGGTGCGCAGACCTCTCCTGCCGCTCCCGCTGCTCCCCTCAGCAGTGTACTTCAGTCCTTCTGCCTGTTCTGTTCCCCGCTCTGGCTCTGGTGAATTCTCTCACCCTCCCGCGCTTCTGACTGTGCCCAGTGCTTGTATAAATAAATAAATACATCTTAAAAAAAAAAAAAATCTACCCAGATAATTCCCTCTCATACCTCAATAGTTTATTTTTTTTATTTTTTTAGATGTATTTATTTATTTATACAAGAACTGGGTACAGTCAGAAGCGCGGGAGGGTGAGGGAGCTCACCAGAGCCAGAGCGGGGAGCAGAACAGGCAGACTGAGGTACACTGCTGAGGGGAGCAGCGGGCGGCAGGGGAGGTCTGCACGCCATGTGGGACCCTCCTCCAGTGGCCGGGGAGCAGCCGGGAATCGAACCAGCACTGCAGAGGCTGCGGGCAGCTTCGCAACCCAGCGCTCAGCCGCTGCGCCACCGGGGAGGCCCCTCATACCTCAATAGTTTAAACAGTGATAAGCCTATTCCATAGTCATTCCTAATTGTGGGTCAGGCCAGGCCTGAGTTACTATGCCAATTACAGTGGTAAAGAGGTGGAATTATCTTCCGACCCATGAGATCCATCATGGCACCAGGGGCAGAGTTAGCCTTCCTGAAGCAAGCAGGCTGGGAGGGAATTCATTTCTGAATTGAAAATGGGGCTAAGATATTTTGTTTGTGTTGAGGTGCTGTTAGGGAAGAAGGGAATTACTGATATTTGTAGTTAGCAATTAAAAATGCCCCCCACTCTCAAGGACAAGGATTTTAAAAATAGTCATTTTTATGTTTGTGCCCTGGCCTCTGTTAACCCTGACCACAGAAATTCCTTCACATTTTAAATTTTTTTAATTAGAAAACATTTCGATATAAAACTATAGAGAACAGAACCATTCACCACTCAGAATAAAGAAAAGGCCACATTTTAAAATTGGAGGTTTCTTAAAATATTAAAAGTTGATCTACCAGGCCTCCCTGGTGGCGCAAGGGGTTAAGCACCGCACTATGAAGCAACCCACAGCCTCTGCAGCACGAGTTCGATCCCCAGTCGGCCAGGGAGATTCCCCCATGGCACAGCAGACCTCTCCTGTCTCGCCTGCTGCTCCCCTCAGCAGTGTATTTCAGTCAGTCTGCCTGTTCTGTTCCCCACTCTGTCTCTGGTGAATCCTCTCACCCCCACATCTCTGGCCTGTAGCCCAGCTCTTGTATGTATAAATAATAAATAAATCTTAAAAAAAATAAAAAATAAAAGTGATCTACCACATGACCCAGCAATCTCACTTGTAGGTATTCACCCAAAGAATACAAAAACACTAATTTGAAGGGATATACACACTCCTATGTTCACTGCAGCCTATTTACATTAGCCAAGCAATGGACAGATGAGTGAATTAGGGTGATGTGTTATCAGCTATTAAGAAAGATAAACTCAGCTATTAAGAATACTACTCAGCTATTAAGAAAGATAAACTCTTGCCGTTATGCTAAACAAAGTAAGTCAGAGGATAAAGACAAACATCAAATGGTGGCACTTTGTGTGGAATATAGAGAAACAAAGTCAAAGAAATAATAAGCCCAAGATATCTGGCTGCAGAACTGAGGCTACCAAAGAGGGAGGGGAATGGAAAAGAACAAAGCAGGGCAGGAGAACAACAGACTGTGCTGGAGCACTATTAGTGTCTCGGTGGTGGGTGCAGTGTGGTAACGACACCTGACAGGGGGTGATCCTAGACATCTAAATCATATACAATGGTGTAAACCAATGTTAGCCCAATTAAAAAAAATAGTAAGTATATTTCCTTAAAAGTTCTTTTTAAGAAATAAAACAGTGTAAAGTTGAGGTTCTGTTTTGCTTTTATTTTTTAATTATATTACTTTTTTTGAGGTAGCACTGATTTACAACACCGCATATGTTTTTGGGGTAGAGGTTCAGACCTCTTCAGATGTATGATACTCCACCACACCCACCACCAAAGCACCCATAATCTTCCAGTCCATTGGGCCTCCTCTCTCATTTGTTCCCGATCCCCAACCCATCAGCCTTGGTAGTGAGGTCCTGTTTTGAACTACTTTCCAAATGTATTCCCTTCTCTCCTTCCCTAGAATTATGATTAATTTGGTATTTATCTTTCCCAATTGTGTATATAGTTTTGCTACATTTATAGTAAACAAACATTAATTTATCACACTGTGTTCTATAACCGTTTAACCACCAATAACAGCTTTTAAAGATTTATCAACTATTTTCTATCTCTAGGTTATAAAGCTCTATATGAGCAGTAATCAATGTGGTTATATCTCAGGATGCTGAGAAGGCCCTCCTATACCCACCCAGGATTACTTTTATTGTTATACCACCTTAACTGTCACCAAGAACCCCTGCAAGTGGGGACAGTCAGTTATTTGCCATATCATCAAATGATTTTCTTCTGTGGCTAGGAACAGCCTTGGAGGGGCTTAGAACTGGAGTACAAGGGATCTGCCTAGAGAAAGTACCCGGGGAGGTGAGCAAATTGGAGGTCTCCATAGTCTGAGGGCAGTAAATACTCTATTTACTAATGGCAAGGGTTTACTGAGGCTGAAGAGAATCTGCGTGTAGACTGTTGGATCCTGACTGCTGCACTCCTCTCTGTGCCCTCAGACACCTCCTTCATGTACATAATTGCCGGGCTCTGCATGCTGAAGCTCTACCAGACTCGCCATCCAGACATCAATGCCAGCGCCTACGCTGCCTACGCCTCCTTCGCTGTGGTCATCACGCTCACCGTCCTTGGAGTGGTGAGTCCCTCTCCACAGCCTCAGCCCTGCTTTCCAATGGTGTCTTCTTGAGAGGTTTTATGTTATTTGTTTTTTGGACATCAAATGAACAGGTTAATCGTTTGTTCTTGACATGCTCTATTCATAGGTCCATCCATAGCATTTTATTTATTAACTAATTTATTAAGTAATTATTTTTAATAGTGTAATAGCTATCTATGAAACTACTGGAACATTTTAATATAAGTTGGGACTGGGCACATATGAGATTAGAATAGAGATGTACAAGATGATCAGAGCAATTGAGTTAAAAAGAACAGAAACCGCTTTCTAAATGTACATAGACTAGTGTAAGTTGTCTTTGGTTCTTGGAAGAGCATTAGCGCCCCCCCCCCAACCCCCACTGTCCCTTCATCATTATTGTTTGGCTGCCCCACTCATTTCTTCCATTTCCATTTTCATTTAATGGTGCAGCCTTCTTTTTCCTGCTCTGAGTGCAGTAAGATCACTGAGTACTCAGAGAAGGGGCCAAAAAAAAAGCGCATACAGTTTGATTTCTGACTCTGTGCATACATGAGAAGCACAATGATTTTAAGTGAGTTCTCTGGGGAAAAATCACAGATGAAGGTAACTTCCTTATTTGCATCTAGGTGTTTGGCAAAAATGACATGTGGTTCTGGGTCATCTTCTCTGCAATCCATATCCTGGCCTCTCTGGCCCTCAGCACCCAGATCTACTACATGGGCCGTTTCAAGATAGGTGAGTGACTTGTTACTTTACACTAAATACACTGATGAATTAACCCCAAGAAAGGAAAGCCTTGTTTTCACTTATCCAAAATGGAAGTGTTACTGGTCATCATAAAAGCACACATTTTAAATTGTACATGTGTTTAACAGCATATGTCCTCCCCAAGACCTTCCTCTCCCTCAGGATTCTCTTATCTCCAATTCTGCTTCCAACAACTTAGCACATTAGGCTTGCCATACCTCAGAGCTGAAGCATACCTCCAACTTCAAGGCCCAAAGACTTCGCAGTCCCCCAAACTCTGAAAATCCATCTGCAGAACAGTATGGTCATGACACCACTAGTTCCACCTGGAAGAATATTTTTTTGTTTTCTTCTAGCATTAAAAAGGAGCATTTCTCTAATTTATGATGTTAAATGGTCATCAAGAATGAATTCTATATTATTTTCAAATTCTAGGAATTTTTCTGAGGCCAACTTGCCCATCTTGGAGGCAGGACACTTGCTGAATTCCCTCTGTCAATGTGAAAGTGTCATATTAGAACTGTGTTCCACAGAAATCATCTTCAATCTGGTGGTGGTGGTAGTCAGTCGTTAACGTGGGGAGCAAGTTTAGTCTATCACAGAGCATTTAAATTTTACCAGTTATTTTAAGATCCAGGAAATCAGATTTATATATTCTTTTGTATAGCTCAAGAAAAATCACTATACAGTAAGTCTCACTTAACATCATCAGTAGACTCTTGGAAACTGCAACTTTAAGAGAAACAACGACTAAGACATAACAAAACCACTTAACCATAGGCTGATATAAACAAGAGCTGAGTTCCCACAGCATATTTCTGGTCACATAAAACATAACCCAATAATATTAAACAATAAATTGTATTCTTTCATTTTTCAACCTGCTTATCCTAGTTCAGGGGAGAGGATGGCTGGAACCTAGGAGCCTAACCCGGCAATTTGGGGTGCAAGGTAGAAGCCAATCCCTAGGGTCGTGCTCATATTCACTCCTGGAACAATCTGGACACACCAATGAACCAAACCTGCCTATCTCTGGGATATGAGGGAAAACGTGGGAAAACCCACACAGACATCATGACAATACGCAAAGCCAACGCAGACAGTGTTCCCTGTCAGGAACCAATTTTTTTTTTTCTCATCAACGTTATAATGAAATGACTAAAGTTGAATGACACATCGTTATTGAAGGACTTGCTGTCTATACACAAAGGCCCCGCCCCTTGGCTTTTGCAGAGCCAAAGGCACGACTGCAAATAAAACTTCGCATATCCTATGTATCAGATTTAACGTTTCAAAGCCGACTAAAAGACTATTACTAAATGGAAGGAAGGGGGACGAACAAAAAGATAAATTAACATACCTTTGGTACATCATAGAATGTCTCCGTTCAAACGCAGAAGCCTAGGTTCCTCGCAAGAACTTTCCAGAACACAGCTGTACCAGGCGGAGCGGTCCAGGCCCGCCCCTCTTCTCTCCCAGCCCCGCCCCTCTTCTCTCTCAAGCCCCGCCCCTCTTCTCTCCCAGCCCCGCCCCTCTTCTCTCCCAGCCCCGCCCCTCTTCTCTCCCAAGCCCTGCCCCTCTTCTCTCCCACCCCCGCCCCTCTTCTCTCCCAAGCCCCGCCCCTCTTCTCTCCCAGCCCCGCCTCTGTGCCGGGGTCCGGAGGGGTCTCAGGCGCGCACGCGCAACCCTTGCCCGACGTCTGGGTGGTTTCGCCGGAAGCAGTTTCGCCACAAGTGTTTTGACCACCACCATTTTCCCCTAAAAACATTTTCGCCACATAAAGAGTAGACCGTCGGGCAACTTGCCTATGAAAGAGAATAGAATGAAAAATAAAAGTGATACATTCAAAAGGACACAATGAAACATTTTTTTTCACGTGTGCGTGAATTCTTGGCAATACTGCACGAAGATCTTTCTTCTGTGGCTTGTACCTAAATGCTTGCCTTCCAAGTCTTTTGTTTATAGTATTACATACGTTTTGCCTTTTTTAGTGATCAAACTTACTGGAAATGTGAAAGCAAAGGGCGTAAAGCCAGATCGCATACTACTGTACTAGGAAATATCACATCGGCTTGCAATGAATTGAAGCGTTGTTTTTATTTTTTTTTAAAGATTTATTTTATTTATACAAGAACCGGGGTACAGGCCAGATGCGCGGGAGGGTGAGAGGATTCACCAGAGACAGAGTGGGGAACAGAACAGGCAGACTGATGAAATACACTGCTGAGGGGAGCAGGGGTGAGGCAGGAGAGGTCTGTGCACCATGTGCGCCCCTCACCGGCAGGCCAGGATCGAACCCGCGCTGCAGAGGCCGCGGACAGCTTCACAGTGCGGCGCTCAACCGCCTGCGCCATCAGGGAGGCCCGTTGTTTTTATTTTGAAAGCAAACTAACTGACAACTAAAATATGGTAAACAAAGTCAGCGAATGCAGTTGTGAGGTTCATCGGTGAAGAAATGAAAACAAACCTTCGGCCAGTTAAGTTATTTTGTTTCACTTTGAGTTCTTTTAAAAACGTTTGGTCCTCTTTTATTTTCAGCACTTTTCTCTTTTTGTGGCAAAAGTGCCTTCCGGTCAACTAATTATGCAGCGAAACGATCCGACAGGTTGCACAACATCCAGTTGGTCACTCCGTCGCACACTGAGGTGCCATCTGCCCTCGGGAAGAGAGACCAGGAAAAAAGCAGGCAGCTCTGAGAGCAGGCAGGGAATTCCAGAGTCTGGGAATTCAGAATGTGGTCTAGAAGGGGAAGGAGTGGTTCCCTCGCCCTGCAGACTCCTCACTCAGTAGAGATGGAGGGCGCTTATCTATGGGAACCCTCTTGCCCAGGACTAAGAGCAATTCTACATAAACACGTGGCTTTAAAACCAGAAGACCAAATGAGACAACATACCATTCTGGGAGTTTAGTTTACCTAATTTTTCAGCATGGTCAGTGAATTTACCCTGGAGATTAACACAACCAGTGTACCTTCAAATCACCCCTGTGGAAGCATCATTAGCCAGTTGCTAGAAGGTTTGGCAGGACATGCTGCTCGTGCCCCATCCTCCAGACTCAACAATGAGTCAAGTCCTACAAACTCAACTTTCAAAAGGAAAGTGATTTGGAGCAATGTTGCTCTGAGTTCTTCCAGAGAGGGAAAAATCAACTTGAATCTGATACATGTAATGCTAGCCACTGCTAACACATAGAGGAACTTTTAATGTATTTATATCATCTTTGCCCCAATTTTGGAATATTGAATGAGTTTGCCTTTTTTAAAAAAGAGAAGTTTGTGTTATACTATCACCATGTAACTGTGTGTGTGTGGGGGGGGGGGAGTGTCCCAACAAGAAAAATATGTCCCTCATAAAAAGTAAGCAGGAATTATTCACACAAGGATTATTCATAAATCATGGGAGGGTAGAAATAATGAAATATGATAACCTCGGGTTAGCAACAAAGAAGAGTTTGCTGTCCATAAGAACAAAAGAACAGGAAGTGGGTCCCAAAACAGGGAAAGAGAGTGTGGAGAGGAAATCCCTGGGAAAGGAGCAGTGACCTTGGCTTGTCAGACAAGGCAGCGGCCAGCCAGAGGCAACCTCAAAGACAGGGCGCTAGGCAGATAAAACACTGAGTTCTCTCTACTTACTCTGTCCCTCCATCTCCTCGTAGGGGTTCCTATTGTCCAAATCCATGGACAGTGAAGAAATCCATAGATTCCGTCCATATAGTCATACCTGGCCCTGGCTGTGTATGGGACAGGGAAAAGGGCAAGTGAGTTGGGAGGAGCCGAAGATAGTTCAACAGAATATATTCCGTTTCTCTACACAAGGAGGCTTCTCCAAGACTGGTTCTTCCCAATCTGATAAAGATTTATAAGAGGCAAAAGTCAAATTGTTACTATGATCACATCTAACTTTATAGTCCAAAGGCAGGAAGCAGGATCAGTGGGCTGGTTCCGGAAACCTACCCCTGGTAGGTTTCTCAAATCATGTACCTCTTTCTCTATGACTCCCAGGCTACACCTGGAAATAAATGCAGACACAGGAAGGCAGAGTATTTCATAAACAGACCAGGAAAACATGGAGCTAGTTGTCCAGGTCACTACTCTCTCCCTTGCTACCAGAATCCCATTAAAGTACCACAGGGAGTGCCCAGGAGACAGGGTGGATATTAAGTTACAAGCAGAACACAAAAGTAGCCAGGGAGGGAGCAAAGTCTGATTCACTCTCAAGAAAAGTAACCTTCTGGATGTTTAAGGCAAGGCAGAAAGTTTCATGTTCTTTCTAATGAACAAACATGACTTTTATAATCTGAAAAAATTAAGGTCATTTGTTTCAAGAAAAAATTAAATGACCATAGTTTACCTGATTGACTACTTTCTTACAATTTTTTTTTTCTCATTTCTTCTCTGCTTCCCACTGATTCAGATGTGTCTGACACAGGTAATGTTCAGTCACCCTTCCCAGGGTTCTAGAATGTTTTCTTAGCCAAGGGCCTGTCTGTTCCAGCTCTGCTCCATGCACACACACCCTTGCAGGTTGGGCAGGTTCCATGAGGGGATGGGGAGTAAGAGGCCCAGAGGCAGGAGTACTCCAGCCCACTGTGCCTCTTTCAGGTTATTGCCTGGACAGCCCCCACTGATTAGTCCAGTGAATGCTTGTTGAATTGACCCTAGGGGGAACTCTGAAGAGCAGTATTCACTACAGAGCTGGATCCACTCCCTGAAATGCTTGCTTTGGGCAGGCCCCAGCCTGTGTGTAGAGGGTGTGCAGCCATCCCCACCTGTGGCCCTGAGCCTTCATCCAGCTATGACGCAGGCACATTGGCTATTTTATACCATCCTTGCTCATTTTGTTTTAGAAAGATATTTTTTTATTGAAGTAACATTGCATTCTGACATTAAATAAGTTTCAGGTATACATCATTAAAAATCAGCATGTGCATACAGTACCTTAAGTTCACCACTATAAGTCTACCTGCCATCCTTTTGAAGGATTGCATTTTTTTAATCTTTCCTATACTTTATATCTCATCTTAACTTACTTCCTTTGATTATTTTCAGAACATGTTTAGACTTCTGAAACTCTTCATAGATCCCAGGATCTTTAAGTTCAATTCTCATTGAAATTACATTGAGAGATACAGACTCAAACTTTTACAAGCTAATATTTCCCATCCTCTAAGTTTTAAGGTGGATTTGAGGGGCCCCACACCATCTCTGCTCTAAAGGAAGTGCCACTGGAATAAACTAGAAACAATGGGAAACTTGGCTAAAGAGATAACCAGTTACCCAAATTATTCTGAGCACTCCTGCCTGTGTTGCTTTTGCTTGCCTTCCTGCTCCATGAGGAGTGGATATGGTAACCTCCTCCTGGACAGCACATGTGGCTGCAGGCACCTTTTTTCAAAGCAAACTTTCATTGATGAATCTATTAGGTGCAAAACACCATTTTAATAAGGTGGAGATGATGTCATCCTGGTCCCCAGCACTTGGGCCATCTGGGCTATTTTGTATTATCTCTAAGCCTTCTCACCATGCTATTGTGTCATCACAGATTTGGGCATTTTCCGGAGGGCAGCTATGGTGTTCTACACGGACTGCATCCAGCAGTGTAGCCGGCCTCTGTACATGGTATGTGTAATTCCTTGGGCTTCTCCTGGAGGAGAGAGGAAGAGTAGGAGGGGCAGGTTTGGGAGTCACTCAGACTCCCCAAATCCAGAGGACTAGATGGCCCAGGGGGGCTGAGGCCTAGTTAGTAGAGAAAGAAGCATGTTGCTTACTCTTCTTCTCACCCTGCTGCTCCACATCTTTGCTAGCATTTGGCATTGTCAATATCTTAGATTTTGGCCATTCTGGTAGGGAATTAATTTTTTAAATACAGATATTTGCTCCAAATTGTATGGATCACTCACACAGGCACAGAAAATCGCGGTTTTTAAATGGCCATGCAGAGTAAGTTGTTGCCAGATAGCACCTGAAAGTTTTAAGTAGTATGCAAAGCATCGGGAATAAATTGCAAATACATCTCTATCAGAGTAATTGTCATTTGAGTTGGAACCTTCCTCTATTTCCTCCCTTACCAATGACTTTAATATTAAGATCTTCTGTTTAAAGAACCAGAGCCTCTTTGGAACAAGAGTGATGGAAAGAAAACTGACTCTTTACAAGTGAGTCCTCAGAGCTGCCTTAGAGCCCAGCAAATAACACAGCCCAGGGAACAGTCTTTGACTACGTAGCACAGTGGCAGAATTCAAAGCACACACAATCAATCTCCCCCATTTAGAAGTGGATCCTGCACCACCCTGTCCCCTAAACCTCAGGGAGAAACAGCAGAAGTCCTTGACTTCCTACATTTTTTTATTACAGGAATGTGGTCACATCAGTTTGTAGCAAGAGGCCTTGCCAGTTAGTCCTCAAGCAGGACTAGTGTCTCACCATAGCCACAGTTTACTGTCGAAGATAGAAACCTTTTTTCCCATCAAGTAAATTGTTTTGCCATAATCATTGCTTCCCCCTATGGTGGGCTAAAAGAATTGCCATGTGAGCAGACTCTGATGTGATGTTTTCTTTCCTCCTTTCCAGGACAGAATGGTGTTGCTCATTGTGGGGAATCTAGTTAACTGGTCCTTGTAAGTAGTCTGAGAAAACATGTTTTTCTCTTTGTTAATATCTGTGACATTGTGGTTTAACTTTCCTTGGCTGTCATTTTTATAAAAAAGTCTGAAATGAAGGAGAGCATAGGTCTATGCTTATCCTAGAGGTTTGAAAGAAAGGTATTTTTCCTCTGCAAAGACTGCAATAGAAGCTCTTGTTTGCCAAATAGTGGCCTCTCTTAAAGCATTGATATACTGAGTTCATTGTTCATCAAGACAAACATCACACTTGTTATGTTTATGCAGGTAGATGATAGATACATAATAGATGATGGGTAGGCATGAAGATTATCCCAGTAGTTGCAAAAAAAGCAAAAGTTTAGACTCATTTGTAGAACTTTCCACAAAGGCAACCTAGTGGGCATTTCTCTTTTTCACTAAAAGTCTGTGTCCTTTTCTATTTCTTTTTTCTCTCTCGGTCTCATTTTTCCTACTCCACTTACATCATTCTGCTTTCTCTTTGCCCCCTTCCTTATATCTTGGTCTTTTTTCTTCATACAAACTCAAAAGTGAACAGTTCCACAAATACATAATTTTGCTAGCTGTGGCTACTACAAGCAACATAGTGTTAACCTAAGAATGTAAATGAATATATGTTTTTGTTTTAAAGATTTATTTATTAATTTATACAAGCACTGGGTACAGTCAGAGGCATGGGAGGGTGAGAGAATTCACCAGAGCCCGAGCAGAGAGTAGAACAGGCAGAGTGATGAAGTACACTGCTGAGGGGGGCAGCGGGAGGCAGGAGAGGTCTGTGCACCATGTGGGACCCTCCTCCGGTGGTCGGGGAGCAGCCGGGGATCGAACCGGCGCTGCAGAGGCTGCAGGCAGCTTCTCAAGCCAGCACTCAACCACTGCGCCACCGGGGAGGCCCTGAATATTTGTTTTATTGATACCACATAAATAAGTAAGCTAGTAAGATTCTTTCTGAAATGCATTACCTAATTAGGCAAAATTTTCAAAGGTATCTGTAAAAGAAGATTAACAGAAGGAAGAAGGAGCAGAGGTATATAGTAACTATACCAGCATTACCCAATAGAACTTTCTGGAATGATGTAATTGTTCTACTCTACACTATCCTATAGAGTAATTATTATCCACTTGTGATTATTTAGCACTTTAACTCACTGTAGCTTAAGTGAAAATGAAACTGAGGGGCCTCCCCGGTGGCGCAGCAGTTGAGCGCTGGCTTGCGAAGCTGCCCGCAGCCTCTGCAGTGCCGGTTCAATCCCCGGCTGCTCCCCGGCCACCGGAGGAGGGTCCCACATGGCGCGCAGACCTCTCCTGCCGCCCGCTGCTCCCCTCAGCAGTGTACTTCTGTCCTTCTGCCTGCTCTGCTCCCAGCTCTGGCTCTGGTGAATTCTCTCACCCTCCCGTGCTTCTGACTGTACCCAGTGCTTGTATAAATAAATAAATAAATCTTTAAAAAAAAAAAAAAAAGAAAATGAAACTGAATTTTCAGTTTTATTTAATTTTAAATTTAAATAGACATATACAACTACCATTTTGTATAGTGCAAGTTAGCCTAACCAGATAAGACAACAAGGCACTGGTCAAAAATTAGAAACAAATTAGTAAATCAGAATGGAGAGAACAGAAATCCAATTATGCACATGTGTGTCATTTAAAAAAAAAGTGTTTCAAAATGAGGAGATAAGGAAGGGTCATATTGTAGAGAGTTTTATTATAACTGAACAGAAATTTGGAAAGACATTAAAGCTAAACCCCAACCAAAACAAACTTCAGTATTAATGTAAAAGTCATAAACAGCTAGCAAAAAAATTATGTGTGTCAAGCCAATTATTGCAGTAATTCTGCAACTAGCAATCTATTCTAATGACTTGATCTTAAATGCTAAAAGAAAAAAGCACAATACGTCTTAAGGGATTCATTTGTTTTTGCAGTGTTCTTTATCTTAGTGCACAACCGAGGGGTGACCAAAAACCATTCATTTCAACCCAAAAGGAAAGATGATTATTTATGGCACATCCACCTAGAGGAACCTTATAATTATTAAAAATGAATGTTCTGAAGGAGATGGAATAAATTTAAACTCACATTAAAATGTTATTGTTTAATTCCCTTCCCTCCAAAATGGAGGTAGAATGGTGAAAAAGCCAATAATGTTATATATCTACCCTCACGGCTACAAACTAATTCCTCCCCATATTCTCAGTGCCCTCTTTGGACTGATATATCGACCCAGAGACTTTGCCTCCTACATGCTGGGCATCTTCATCTGTAACCTGCTGCTCTACCTGGCCTTTTACATCATCATGAAGGTAAGAGTGGTGGCTTGGAGCCAAGGTGCGCCCCAAGTTTCCACAGGGGTGCAGCTTGGCAGTATCTGCTTCTCACCCACAGCTCCGCAGCTCCGAGAAGGTCCTGCCCATCCCGCTCTTCTGCATTGTGGCCACGGCTGTGGTATGGGCTGCTGCCCTGTATTTTTTCTTCCAGAATCCCAGCAGCTGGGAGGTAAGAGGACAGTTTTCTTTTCCAAGAAGTTATTCTTTCTTCACCTTCCCTTTTTGACCTTCCTCCCTCCCTTTCTTTGTGGGTTTATTGATAAAGAGAGAGCACACACAGGCCCCTCGCAAAACACATGAAACACATACAACCAGGCACCAGGGAACCTGACATAAGCAGAATCACAGATAAGGCTGACAGCGGTAAACAATTCCAGCAGACCCCCTCCGGCAGAAGAGACCCCCTCACATACACCAAAAATTCCATCAGTAGCGTAACCCTATAAAGACCCTCAATCCCATTTTGGGGCGTGACTCCTGGCCTACAGAAAGTCCTCACCTCACAGATTTTCAATAAAGCCCACTTTTGTCTTGGCCTTCTCTCTTTTATAAGTTGCTGTTTATCATTTTTATATTCTCTAATATCAAAGCTTTCTCTAAAAGCTTAAGGCATGGCTTTGAAGGAACACACAAATGCTCAAGAAATGTTTTCACTATAGGGTACACTTGGTAGATGTGCAGGCCCTACAAATGCTGCAGATCGGATCTTCATTATGTGTTATACGGTGATCTTTCTCCCAATGGATGTTTAATGTGTACAAAAACCCCAAGCAGTGTAACTTCTCCACCTTTCTCATGGTAACTATCACCCATAAACAAATACCCAAGTGCAGGTAGGTATATAAATCCATTGTATGGATAGGAAAGCCGAGACCTAGGAAATGAGTGATACGTCCAAGCACAGAGAAGGGAGGAAGACTCAGCACTCCACCATCACTGCAATCAATTTTACAATATTTTTAATCACCCCAGAAAGAACCCCTGCACCTGTTAGCAGTCACTCCCCATTTCTCCCTAACTTCTTGACCCTAGGCAACCAAAATCTCTTTTGTTGCTATAGCTCTGCCTATTCTGAACTGTTCATACAAATAAGTCTGGCTTCTTTCATCAAAGCACTTCTTAGGTTCACCCACGTTGCAGCATGTATCTGTGCTTCATGCCTTTTTATGACTGAATAATACTCCATTGTGTGGACACACTGTATTTTACCTGCCCACTCATCATGATGGGCCTTTAGGTTCTTTCCACTTGTGACTCTTTTTTTTTTTTTTTTAAGATTTATTTATTTATTTATACAAGCGCTAGGTACAGTCAGAAGCGTGGGAGGGTAAGAGAATTCACCAGAGCCAGAGCAGGGAACAAAACAGGCAGACTGACAAAATACACTGCTGAGGGGAGCAGCCGGTGCAGCAGGAGAGGTCTGAGCACCATGTGGGACCCTCGCCAGCATCCGGGAATAGAACCGGCGCTGCAGAGGCTGCGGGCAGCTTCGCAGCCCAGCGCTCAACCGCTGTGCCACCAGGGAGGCCCACCACTTGTGACTCTTATGGATGCTGCTGCTGTGAACTTTTGTTTACAAGTTTTTTGTAGATGTACGTTATTGTGGAAGCTAACTTTTTGAGCCAGGCAGGTAACGTCACACATCTCTTAATGACTTTTTTTTTTTAAGATTTATTTATTTATGCACACAAGAACTGGGGTAAAGGCCAGAGATGCGGGGGGTAAGAGGATTCACCAGAGACAGCGTGGGGAACAGAACGGGCAGATTGACTGAAACACACTGCTGAGGGGAGCAGCGGGTGAAACAGGAGAGGTCTGCTATGCCATGTGGGTAGCTCCCTGGCAGGGGATCGAATTTGTGCTGCAGTGGCTGTGGATATCTTCACAGGTTGCGTCTTAACCTCTTGCACCACCTTAATGACATTTTGGTAGATGGCAGCTCTCATATGCTAGAGTTATCCCAAAAGGCTTCATACAGTATATCCTCAGCCTGCACCAGTCTGTCCTATCTGGGTGTGTGTAATTATGCTCTGTGATATCTGCACAATGACCAAATCACCTAAGCACACATTCTTAGAACATATCTTGGTCCTTATGAGATGCATGACTACTGTGGCATTTTTGTGGCTTTCTGGATGCTCAGCCCTCTAAACTGTGAGAACACTTGCTCACCTCCTGCCTCACCTTCCTCCAGGGAACCCCAGCCGAATCCCGGGAGAAGAACCGGGAGTGTGTCCTGCTCAATTTCTTTGATGACCATGACATCTGGCACTTCCTGTCTGCCACTGCCCTGTTTTTCTCATTCTTGGTAAGTTTATAGAAATTTTTTTATAATTTTTTCTCTCTTTATAGCCTGTACTCTCTTAATCCCCTTGTCCACTCTTGCTTACATCCCCTTTTGTACTCCTCTCCAATCTCCCTTTCCAATTTCTCATTGTAATCCAATGTACAAATACTTATTTCTCTTTTTCATTGTATTATTACGTTAGATTTTATTTCCTTTTCTTATATTCCTCTAGAATAATATTAATAATTAACATTATTATTAATAAGAATATTAATATTTTAATATTATTAATAATAATATTAATAAGAATAAGAATATTAATAATACTAGAATAATAAGAAAAGGAAATATATACATATATATGGTATATATGGTTTATATGCATATATGGTATTAAACACATTTAATTATGTATTAAAACACATAATTAAAAAATGATTTCTTTGCGCTGCATAACATTTGCAATGAATTGGACCTTGCATGCCCAGAGTTCCCCCAATACTATTTTTGACATTCATTAAATTTTCATAACATTGAGTTATTCCTTCTTGTGCTATACTCACAGTTCTTCTCCTCCTCCAGTATCATTGAATATTTTACAGTTCCTGACTGAGGATAGCAGTTAGGGCTCTGTTTCTTTCTAACCTGTCCCAAATCTCTCCTGCCGTTTCTTTTATTTTTTTCCCAAACACCTTCCCAGAAACCACGCACATTTTAGCTACCCCGGTTAATAACTCCTGGCATCCTTTCATATACTGATTTTCAGTTATCCAAATTAAATGTCCCTGGTGAGTGTACGTTGTTTCAATTCACAAGTAATAACACCATTACACTTCCTGAACTCTCAACAGTTGCCTCTGTAACTGTCCAAGCCATATAACGTCAGGTGTGGAGCAGGGCTTCCCCCTAGTGGTCTATTTAAGAAATTTAACCAATCTGTATTAACCGTTCCTTTAGGCTCTTATTTTTTGAAAGTCACCTTAAGGACCACAAAAGTGGAGCTAAGGGTTCCCTGTGGAAAGAGTGGTGGCAGAGGAAACTGAAAATGGGGGAGAAGGTTACCTTTATTATACACCAATAGTCTATGCAACCAAACTTCATTTCCTTTATGTCTTGAACCAAATGTCCCCTTCTAAGTAATGTCTTCCCCAGTCACCCTATCAAAATGTTTTATCACTCCCCACCCTTACCGCCCACATTTCCTCCATACTTTAGTGTTTATTCATATTACTACCTAACACTTTAGCCTTGTCACATAATACTATCTGACATAATATATCTTACCCGTGCATTTGCTTCATGTCAGATGCCTCTTTTTAATGTAGGCTCCATGAAAGAAGAGATTTTTTGTCTTTTTCATCCCAAGCATGTATATCTCCAGCATCTGGAGAGCATATAAGAGACCCTTGATAAATATTTGAATAATTAGCTAATGAACTATTAATTAAAATGAGTGCTTGTACATCTATGGCATTGCAGAGAGCTATAGATGACATGAAAAGGAGTAAGGGCACTTGTGGTTTTCATTCTGTGTGAGTCTTAGAGAGACAATAAGGATTTATTGCGATTGTGCAATCCTCTCATTTCTCTGCTCCCCTCATTTCAGGTTTTGTTAACCCTGGATGATGACCTGGATGTGGCTCGGAGAGACCAGATACCTGTCTTCTGAGCCTCCAGCACAATATGGGAGAGGGAATGATCAATCTTGGTGCTGTTTCATGAAAAATCCAGTGACTGCAGCAAAGTTACCACTGCCAAATGTTCCATTCACTCTCTGTTCAGTCCACTGCACATACATTCACACAGGGAGAGAGGAGCCTGGGCAAGGTTCAAACCTGCAGGAAGTGAAGCAGAAGGGAAGCCATGGCTATAGCTGGAGGCCAACCCTGAAGGGCGGAGGAGAACCCACCCTCTTTTGTTTGCAATGCTGAGTTAGGTATGGACAAAAGCTGCATCAAAATCAACTTGGTGTCTTGGGACCCCTCCACGCCCACCTGAGACTTGCCAGCAATGGTAGAATGAAATGATGCTCTTCTACCATAGTACAGAAAGGCCAGCAGCTCAGATTTCCCACCCAGAAACTCGGGCTGGTCCCTCTGCATTTCTGCAACATGTGTTACTCTAGACATCCCAAAGGGCCAACTCACTTCTCCAAAGCCCTGAGATGACATGGTACCTCAGGGTCTTATAGAGGGCTGGCCCCAAAGTCATATCTAACTGGGATTAGAGACTTCTGTAGCACCAGCTAGTCACCTACTTAGAAGGAAAGCTGTATGTTTTGCCTAGGTTTCTGACCTACTAGGATTCTGGGTTGGGCTTTGTCACACACTCTGACTCTGGGACCAAGGCTTGGGTACTTAACCATTCCTCAGCATCTTCATCTCACTGCTGTGTGTTGACCTCATAACTCAGGATGGGCCTTCTTGGAAAGGCCCTGACATTCGACATTCCAGCTTCATGGTAGAAAGGGAAATGGAAAATGTCTTCTAGCAATAGGAACAAGAGAAATGTCTGAGAGCGCTAAGAGACTGGTGCTACAAGAAAAACGGGCTTACCCTTGGGCTTGGGCTTCTAGAACAGCTTCAGCAAAGGCAAAAGTGCCTCCAATTCAGACAGCCCAATTCTGTGCCCACATCACCTGTAGGGAAGAAATAAAAGCTCTAACCAGAGGCAGTGCTCTGGTGGGGGAGGGGAGGTCCTGTTTGACCAAAAGCCCCTTATCGGTCATTTTAGGCAGATCAGGGGCTCCAGACATAGCCCTAAAAGCAATGTTTCACTAAACACATTTTGTTCATCCTCTTTAGTTGCAGAGAGCACAACTGATTTAGGATTATCTCCCAGTTGCTCCTGATTCTCATTCTCTCCCCAGCAACATGTTGAAAAGCTCAGCATCTCAGCTCACTCTCACACTGTCTGGCAGCTCTGGCCCTGAAAGTCCCCAGGTAACAATCTCCTTGTTACCTGGAGTTTGGTGAACTCAGAATGTGTACAGATGTGCTCACAATGATATATCTGTTCCTGGTCATTAATTAGTCAAATGGATTAGGCGTTCCTTTTTAAAACAAAAAATTTTATTCTTTCTCTAAAATATTTGCATAAAATTCAAAAACATATTTTGGAAGTTTGAATAGCAAACTCTCCTTCATTTTAAAAACAATAAGATGCTTTCAATGAAATATTTTTTTTTCCTAAAGTGTTTCCAAATTTGAAATTGGTATTGTTATTCTTTAGTCCTTAAAAAATGCTTAACTTCCATAGGCCTCCTGTCAAGTGGTTCTGTTCAACTAACATCTAAAACACATTTCAAATCTGTTAAATTATAACTGACTTGATCCAATTTCATTAGATTTCATCTTTTATTTCAAATGGCTTCAAATCCAAAAGGAAATGTGAACAGCAATGTCTGTTTAAGTAGCTGTGGGCCTGAAGTGAATGAACTGTGGGATGTAGTGCCGGCTCCACAGCTTCTCTGGAAACTATGCCCAGGGAAATAGGGAGGAGCAGCTGCCAATGAAGGCCTGTGCTGCTGTGTTCTTGACTCTTTCTCACATTAACCTTGTGCTATAAACACACACTGTGGTCAATTGTGTGTCCTCTGCAACAGCACTAAAAATCCAGACAAGCCTGCTCTTATAAACACTGATTCTAAAAACACTTGTTACTCACGCTTGCTACAGTGCGGATCTGGCGGTTGGAGGATGCAAGGTCTGGGGGCTGTATCTAGGGGTAACAAGAGGACTGGGGGAGACAGTTTCAGAGTTTAACAGTCCCTCATGCATATGCATGTGACAATGCCTATGTGACTTTTGCCTATGCTCTTGGGCTACACTCTTTAAAAGAGAAGTGAAGGGTGACTCTGAAAACCGAGTTCAGCAAGAGGATAACTGGAGAAAAACACCACCAAGAGCCCCTTGGCAGCGCCAGCACAGAGTAATAGGAGCTGGTCAGCAGGAGCAGGACAGAGACGTGGCAGCCAGACAGGCAAAACCGTGCACTTAAAAAAATGACCTCTTCACACCTCTCACAAATGCTGCCCAGGCACCCCACCTGTTGATGCTGGATGTTTGAGGGATTAACCCGGTTTTATTTTAGCAACAGGAGAAGCTAGTGGAAAACCAGAGGCTATCTGGGGAAGGGACTTTCCATGACTGAAGGCTATCACGGAGTTAGCTTCCAGGGCAAAGAAAGTGGCAGCTGCCTTTTTTGTAGCATCAAGCACCCGCCCCATCCAGAATGTTCTGTGGGGTTGCCAAATTCATGTGTCAGTAAATCAAATACCCAAATTATTTTTCATTCTGGGAAATAGTCTTACTGTGTGAAACCTGGGCGGGGAGGGTGGGGGGGGGAAACAAAGACAAATATTGTTCATAGAAAAAAACATACATAGGGTCTAAGAAAGATTCTTATGTCAGACTTTGGTCAAGTTATGTCCACTTGCTTGCTGTGCGACCTTAGCCAAGTCACTGGAACGCTGATCCTCACTGGCCACTTCTACAGGACAGTACATAAGGGTGACCAAGGTAAGGCTTGAGTAAGGCTGAGCAGAATGCCAGAGCAGTCAGCCCAAATACCCAGTGCCCCCTTATCTCTTAAATTCCACGGGGAGGCAGGCAAGAGTCAATCTCTCCCCTGAGGTGGCATTGCTCTCCCCCAGGGCCTCTCCTCTAAAACTAGTACTATTTCAGTCCTTAGTGCCAGGAGGCCCTGAAGGCATGGGGAGGCCACTCCCCTTTCAGATTTACTGTCCAGGCTTATCAAACCTCCTGGCCTCGGGCCCCTCCTTACCCTTTATTGTTGCATTTCTGGTTCTTGATACTCTTATTCCAACTCAGATGAAAAACTGCTGCCAAAGCTGGGTCAAGTGGAAAGTCCAGCTGCATTGCTATCATATCTACCCTGGGAATCTCAAAGAAAACCTAGATTTTCTCCTCTCCAGTAGCTATGATTACCATGGTTCCAAGAATGCCATGTGCAAATGTTCCCCTCACCTTCCTCACACTCCCCACCCTTATCACCAAGCGCTCTGGGGGGAAAGTCTGGAGGTTCAGTCTCTATGAAAAAGGGCCTCAGGCTCGAAGACAGACCGGGTCCCTGAAAAGAGGAAACATAGGAAGGACACTGGTTTTTAAATAACTTTAATGTCCTCCATGAAACTCAGGGAAAACACTGAGTCTACATGGCCTGAAGCAGTGTTAAATCCTTGTTTACCCTGAATCTGCTGGCTTGTACTGGTTTGTTTCTTTTGTTTTTAACTGCTTGATGCAGACTAGATTTATTTGTATGGCTTAATTTAATGTCTCCTCAACATTGATGCACTATTGTGAAAGTGAAGTACCTGCTAAATCTTAGACCTTAATGCACATGATTTCAAATAAGCTTGACAGGAGTCACTGGATGAGCCTTCACCTCTGAGCTTCTAAAAAATGACAGTAATGAGGTGTGACTTTAGAGGAGGCTGGACTTTCCAATTGGCCCAGCTTTTGCTTAGGGCTCTTGTGCAAAGGGAGACCTCCTTACCCCATACTCTGTCAATTCCAGTGAGACACTTTTTATTTCCTATGGTTTTCCTGAAGTGTGGGCTTGCTATTTTTATTAAAATACAAAGATGACTAAATGTTACCATCATTTAGCTATTAAGCTTTGTTCCTCAGTCCTAAGGATGTGAAACTCTTCCTCCTTCTTAAATATCTCTAGATTAGGATATTTCATACTTTCCTGTGAAATCTTAAATTAAAAAAAAATTCCTTGATTCTATCCTACTTCCTTCTCATTGCCTTGAAATGCTTGTCATCTAAGATGTATCATTTCCATTGGAGGCGAACAATATGTAACCACCACCCCATTTTAACATAGAAGAGCCTTGAAGTTCTATTACATTTCAATCAAGTGCTAACTAAAGACTGGGGTGTCCCATCGGCTCTTCTAGTGTGTCCTTCCAGAGAAAAGAGGAGATGTCAGAAAAATAACTGCTAACCTCAAAAATTTCTAAGAAAAATTAAAGTCTCAGTTTTAATTCCAGCAAAGAATAGAAATCTAAAAAGACAGATAGTTGGGATGAGGATCATCTTCACCTATCTTTGAAGAAACAAAAACAATTCCATCTCCCTAATTCTTAGGTATTGTAACAACATTCCCTGGGAGAGAACTAGCAGGGCACTGAGGTTCTTGCTGCCCTTGAACGAGATATTACTATTGAAACTATTACCTTCAATTCCCATATTCAATCCTTAGAAATTATAGTTGGCAGAAGTGACAATTAAAACAGCAAACATTTATCATCAGGCATTCTGCAAGGTTTTATATACATTACCGTATTAAATCCTGACACATACACAGGCTCATAATGTCGGTGTTACTACAATAATCCCCATTTATCAGATGGAGAAACTAAACTTATAGAAGTCACTGTTCACTAGATGAAGTGAACGGTGCAGAAAACCTGGATGAGTAGTCAGAAATAAGCAGTTTAGTTAACAAGACCAAAGAAAGGGAAGACATAATATGGCTATAAAGATTACAATTTCATTTGTGCATATATCTACATGTACAAGCAAACAGCCTAGAATTATGTATTAACTATTGGTTGTATTAAAAAAAGAGAGAGAGAAAGAGAGAAAGTTCTTAAACCCTAGAAATATGACTGCAGCGTTGAGGCTACTAGAGAGCGAGGGGAAGGGAGGGTTTGGGAACAAGTGGGGGAGAGAGCCCAATGGACTATGATGAAGGACTATGGTGCTTTGATGGTGGATGTGGGGTGGTAACATATATCTGAAAAGGTGTCCCCCTCTATCCCTAAGTCACATACAGTGTTGTAAAACAATGTTACCCCAATTTTTAAAAAAATTTACAAAAAAGATTTTTCCAAGCTGTCTGGAGCTTCCTCAGTCTACTGAAAGTGGAGCTACCATACGACCTGGGGATTCCACTACTAGGGATCTACCCAAAGGACAAAAAAACATTGATTCAAAAGAACACCTGTACCCCTATGTTTATTGCAGCACTATTTACAATAGGTAAAACCTGCAAGCAACCCAAATGCCCAAAAATAGATGACTGGATCAAGATGTGGCATATATACATAATGGAATATTATTCAGCAATCAAAAAGGATAAACTCATGCCATTTGCAGCAATGTGGATGGAACTAGAAGGAATCATGCTCAGTGAAATAAGCCAGAAGGGGGGGCCTCCCTGGTGGCGCAAGGGGTTAAGCACTGCATTATAAAAGCCAATCAATAAAACTAGAGTTTTGGCTCATTTTACCTGTCTAAACTGGAACAGCTGAATTCATAGGACTCTTGCTTCCCTTTCTAACCTGTAAAGTTAAGAACCAAAAGTCCTTTCTGCAAAGATTGCTCTTGACTATAGATCCAAAGATTCATTTTAAATTAAAATATATGTGGTATATTGTGTCCAGTTTTCACTGGGAAATTGTTGGTCCAGAACCAAAATTAACAATGGAATGAAAGCATAGGAATGTAGTGGATCCTTATTTTCATTTTTTATTTTTATTTATTTTTTAAAAGATTTATTTATTTTATACAAGAACTAGGGTACAGGTCAGAAGCGCGGGAGCGTGAGAGAATTCACCAGAGCCAGAGCGGATAGCAGAACAGGCAGAAGGACCGAAGACAGTGCTGAGGGGAGCAGCAGGCGAGGCAGGAGAGGTCTGCCAAGCCATGTGGACTTCTCCCTGGCAGGCGGGGAATCGAACCAGCGCTGCAGAGGCTGCAGACAGCTTTGCAGTGCGGTGTTCAACCGCTGCGCCACCAGAGAGGCCTCTGGATTTTTATTTTTTTAAAAAATTCAAGGTCTCCACAAACTCGTCAAGTCAAAAGTCTTCCAAAGTTGCCTTCAAAACTGATTTACATTTACCCAATATATGAGACCGAATCTACCCATCCATGACTGAGCCATCTTTGTTCTTGGAGGCTGGGCCCAGCCCTTCCCTCCTCGGAGGGAGTGGTTTCATCCCATCAAATTGAAGCAGGACTAGCCTGCACTGAACTGGGAAATCATCATTCTTCGTTTGGGGTACAATGATAAACATTTCTAAGTTTGTCTAGAAGTAAGACAAAAAAGGCAGTATGACTTGATTTGAAACACTGACATACTAGTCAATTTTCTTCTTCTATGTTCGGTTATTTGTTAGATTTTTTTTTCATAGTTAATGTGAATTTGCACATTCACCACTCAGCAGCATTCCCAAAAAAATTGGATTTAACCTAATGAATCATGAATTCTCAGAAAACTTCCCTGAAGCAGTAAATTCTCCACCACTACAATTTGGCTTCAACCTCTTTCCAAACCACAGATCTGAATGTGATTAAGCAGTGTAAAAAAAGCACGGAAACCAGATCTGCACAGCTCAAACTTGGTTAAAAGCTGAATTTTCATATTTTTCCCCCAAATCTATAGTTTACTTGATTGTGTGAACAAATTAATAAACATTAATACTAGTTAGCCAATACACCTGATTTCTGAGTTCATAAGCAACAAATTGGCATTGTTTCCTTACTTCTCAAAGGAAGAAGAAAATGTCAAAGAACTGTTAACACTGACCAACCGAATATAGTCTCATAAAGGCCTGTAGTCCAATCTCGTGTGTAGGAGAGATGGAGATGAAGAAGCCAGGGAAGATAATTTCCTTTTTTCATTTAAACATCCTTCTTGCAACTGTGTGAAATCAATTGCAAATATAAAACCTCATTTATTTTCCACCACAACTCTGTGAGGCAGACAAGGCAGATGATGCATCGAGAAATAAACTAAAAGCAAAGAAGTTATGCCACTTTCCCAGAGTCACACAGCCAAGGTAATGGGAACCAGATACAAAATAGTGTCATGATTTTTTCCTAAATAATGAATTTGCTGACTCAAGAAATTTATCAGAAGAAAACTGACAGCAGCTCAAACTTCCAGGGGTAGTTTTCTTTTTTTTTTTTTTTAGTTATTTTGACCTTTTTACTTAGGTGTAAGTATATTCAGTAATGTTCATGATGTGCACTAATCTTAGGTGTATAGTGATTGATAAATTTTTACATTAATACGCATATGTGTGCAAGCACATATATACAAACTAATGTAAACACCACTAACATTTAGATACAAAACATTTCCAGCATCCTTGCCTAACTTTTCTCCTTGTAGATTAGCTTCACCTCTTTGTGAACTTCAGATAAATGGAATCATCCAGTGCATCTTCTTTTTTTTTTTTTGAAGATTTATTTATTTATGCATATTTATTTATGCACAAGAACTGGGGTACAGGCCAGAGATGCAAGGGGTGAGAGGATTCGCCAGAGACAAAGTCGGGAACACAACAGGCAGAGTGACTGAAATACACTGCTGAGGGGAGCAACCAGTGAGGCAGGAGAGGTCTGCTGCACCATGTGGGTTGCTTCCTGGCTGGCGGGAGATTGAATTCGTGCTGCAGAGGCTGCGGAGGCTGCAGAGGTTACGGATTGCTTCATAGTGAGGTGCTCAAACCCTTGCTCCACCAGGAAGGTCCCATCCTCCTTTTTGTCTGGTTTCTTTCACTTGATATAATATCTGTAAAGTTCAACTGGGTGTATCTGTAGCTTCTCTTTCTGACATTTTATTTATCCATTCTTCTATTGATGGATGTCTGGGTTGTTTCTAGTTTTTGGCTGCTATAAAGACAGCTGCAATGAAGGTTCTTCTACATACCTTTTGATGAACTTATACAAACATTTTCCAAGGTATATATGCAGCGTGATATGGAATTGCTGAATTTTAAGATAGATATATTATTAGTTTTAAAGCTACTGCCAGCAGTTTTTCAAAGTGTTTGGACAAATTTAAACTCCCATTGGAACCATATAGCATGACAATTATTCCACATATTTTCCAACACTTGGAATTTGGCAGTATTTTTCAATTTTAGCCTTTCTGGGTAAGACTGTAAGGGTATATAATTGTATTTTGTTTTGCATTTCCCAGTGACTGCTGATGGTGAGCACCTTTTTATGGATGTCTTGGTCCTTTCTGTGGATTTGCGCAAGTGCTTTGTCCATTTTATAAATTGGCTTATGTGTCTTTTTCTTCTTGATATATATATATATAATATATTATATATATAAAATCTTTGCCAGCCTCATTTGATGAAGAGAAATTCCATTTGATTATTTTAAGTGTCTTTTAAAATATGATTTTTTTAACATCTCATTTTTGTTCTAGTTGTTGAGTGGGATTGATGACCTGGCTGCTATATCTTACCTAAACCTGATAATTCCCCAGTACAGTTCTTTTTAAAGAGATACAAGTTATTAAAATCATCTTCATTTAAAAATCTAACTATACCAGAAAGCTAACAAAATTTTAAAGTGCTATAGCTACTAGAATTTGCACATTCATTTTAGGAAGATCAAAATTGTGCATAATGGTTATATTTTTATGGATTGCATGCCCTTTATGGAACATTAGGGCTCCTTGTATAACCAAACTAAATGATCCATCTACCATCGGTGTGGGAGGCCATGTTCAACAGCAGAAAGAAACCCAAACACTTGATAGTCAGAACACAGAGTTTTTCTGAACTCCCAAGAAGCTAAGACAAGGAAAATATTGTGAGCACTCATTTCCTGGGGTATCTGAGGGAGTAATCTCTAAGGACCTCATTTTACCTGTTTTAATATTAGTATGTACTTTGTATATTTGTAAGACAAAAACTTTAGTTATAAATGAGATGAAACTCCTAAGCACAGTAAGTCTTCACTTGACAAGGTCGATAGTTTCTTGCAAACTGTGACTTTAAGGAATCAGTTAATAACCAAACTACTTCAACCATAGGCTACTTGCTATAAATGTTAGTTTCCAAAAACATGACCAAATTTCTAAATAAAGATTCAAAACACTTCTAATATTAAACAATACTTTGTACACATTTATTTTTCAACCTGCTATTCCAGTTCAGGATCAAGGGTGACTGGAAACTAGCAGCTCAGGGAACAAGCAGGAACCAAACGGTACAGGAGTGCCTCCCTCAGAGGGCACTCACACACTACACTTACGCAGACTGGGACAATTTTAGCCCCGTCAACCTGATGTGCTCACCTTTGATATGCAGGAGAAAATCTATGCAGACTTAGGGAGAATGTGCAACTTTACAAAGACAGTAGTAGGGAAGAGTAATCAATTTATTTTCATCATCACTGTAACGAGGACCTGTTGCATGTGTTATGCAGTTCAATAGGACATACCAATGCTTTGGAGTATCCTTCCCTGATACCACTCCCCTCCCCGCTTTCATAAGAAGTTTCCATTATCCTGAACTTTAGGTACATCATTGCCTTAATTTATAATTTTGCCATATTTGTAGGCTATTCCTAAACAATAAAGTGTTTTGACTTAGAGGCATTTAAGATTTATAACATACTTTTTTAATGTACTTTATATTGTACAAGTTCCTCTGCGACTTGTTTTCTCCCTCTCAAACTTCACGCTTGTAAGATGTGACCAAGTCGATGTAGTCAACTGTAATGAAAGATCTAATTCTTGTCTCAAAGTTCTGTATTTCAGTTTTCTCCAAGGTCCTTGAGGAGAGTTTAAAGTGAATCATTTCTCAATATTCTTTGAGATCTTAAGTTCTAATTTTAGCTTTTATAGTAACAATAAAGTTTGCTCTAGCAATATATAGCACTGCTCAAAATTATTTTTTTTGGTTGTATCTTTGATCAGCAACACAGTGCCCTGGGGAAATGTGCCATAGTATCATTTTCAGACATTGTGGCAAAATTTAAAGATGAATTCAACATAAAATTTCAGCATGTGAGATAAGTTGTTTCATTACCACATTTGAAATGACCAGAAAAGACAGAACTCACAATGCAAAAATGCAAAGTTTATTTTTTTAAATAAAATACTATGTTCATATCTATACAAATAATTATTACAACCATTAAAATGTTACATTTACCAATAAAAATTTCAAAACTTTAAACAAGAGCATGGTTCAGAATATTCACACCCTAATACAATGCATTTGTAAAAAGATGTCAAAATAAACAGGACCTATTCTTATTTACAACTGTAGGACAATCCTGATTGTATTATACATATCTGCTCTGGATTCCATTACAAATTAGTTCCCATTAGATTTATAAATCAAGTGATTTACAGTAACAGGACATGGTGCACAGCAGATATTGCTGGCATGGGAGTAGATACAAATATCACACTATTTAAGAACTACAATTAGGTTTTTTTCTGGTGACTGCCCTACAGTTAGCTTTTCACCCAGTGTATCTATAAATAATTTGTGAAGGTAATTATGTTCTCAGATTTTTCCACCTAAGTTTACCAAAGTGAATATATCTTATATATATGGCCTGCTGAAAGTGGAAGCAAATCTTTTCTTCACAGTAACACAACTGCAGCATTTTAAGAAACACTGTCTGGTCCCTTCTTGAAACATCAACAGTTCAACTCCCCTTAAAGGTTACCAATATAGCCATTTCCAGTACCTCAGTGACCTTATTGATGAAAAATGGTTTTAAGACTTAAGGAATGGGAAAACAGAGATCCAGAAAAGTAAAGAGGGGATTCAGATTGGATAAACTTTAAGTTGCTATGACACAGCACAGTGTAAAGCTGTATACACTAGAGTCAAAAAAATTAATAATCATTTTATTTTTTAAGTGTTAAATTACAAATGAAGGTTATTTTCTATGTTGCATGAGATCTCCAGTGAGAGATTATCAGTCATCTAAGATAACACCAGTTTGGATATTATCTCCAATATTTTCAACCCAAATTGGCTCATGTTTATAAAGTATCTGAACACATGCATGAACCAAAAAAAGATTAAAGTTGATAGGGTTTATGCAAATCTAGAATAAGGATGTTGAATGACAAACACACACAAGCTGAATTTAAAAGGAGTTTTGCTTCTAACTAGTACTTTTTTTTTTGAAAGATCAGCATCAAAGATGGCTCAGAGAATGATAAGGCAACAGTGAGATACATCAGCTGTATTTGTCTCTTAGGTGTTTGATGACACAGCATGTACCATCTGGCTGGTCCTTTGCTATAACAGAGGAGTGGGTGAGTGATATGTTCCAATGGCTGGTCTTATGACCAGAGGCACAATTTCAGGTAAAGTGCAGGGTAGAGGCATGTACGCAGAACTAGAAGCTCTGTATCTAAGAAGGCCCTCAGCACTTCTTATAGCATATCTGGACTGCCTCAGTCTAAACCTGTTGTCCCTCACAATCTATTAGAAACACTCTCAGGCTCACTGAGAAGTATAGAATGCAGAGAGCATATGGTTAAGCAAAAAAAGCAACAACAGCAGTTGTTTCCTGTTGAACTCTGGAGAAGGAGAAATGGTTAACATTCAGCCAAAAAGGCATGTCAAGAAGAAACAAATTTCTGGATTTCAATTTGCATACAGGTGTCAGAAAATCATCCCTCCAGTTTAACTTCACACTAATTTATCTGGCTCACACTAATTTATTGCCCCGTGGATGTACACAGTCATAGGTTGTTATCCCCAGGCAAAGGAAGGATTTATAACAATGACTTCAGTTTCCTGAGGATATCAACTCAAAACCATCTGATTTTGGTATCCTCTTTGCCCTTTCTTCACGCCATCATGCAAAAAAAAAACAAGTTCATTGAAACAAGGAACAGAGCTATATGGCATATTAAAAGTTGTAATTCAATTCTGAACTAATTTTGTTTCAAGAAATTGTTCTTGCCCCTTACTAGACTTACTAGAATAGGAAACAGTGGTTCCCAAAGACAGGAACTGGGAATCACTGATTTGGGAATATGACACGCAGTGGTGGGTCAATCAAAGCTTCAAGGCAAAGGAGTAATCCCATTGCTAAGGAACTGACCAGGTTTCCTGCCACCTGTTTCCAGAAATGGAAAAAAGTAAGAGCAGAGGTACCTATGTAGCAAAGGAAAGAAAAGCTAAGATGTATATTTGTTAAGTCTCTACCCTTTTTCAAATTTAAAAAAAATTTACTGCCATTAAAATGTATTTCTACATTTTTTTAGAATATAAATTTTAACCTCTCCATGAAATGACTAATATTAGAAGGCAAGAGCAAGGCAAGTGAATTATCCATAAAATGTTTAAATAATTTTGTATCTTTAGAAGGCTGATTTAAAAGAAGTTATCCTTATTGCAATTCACCATGGTGTGTGACTGAAAAATTGCTGCAAGAGAACATTCCTTCCTATTCGTTTCTTTTCACAGTTCTGATATTTTAAATTTTATAAAGCACGATCACTGTGGTATTTTCACTTCTTACTTAGAAAAAGGGTACCACCTCTGGTATCCCTAAAAGGTCTTGAAATAAAAAAAATACATTTTCTGACGTGGTATAAATATATACCCTATATATACACCAAAAAAAGAAATGCCATCAATCTTGATTTCTTTTATCCATGATTAAGACATTAAATATATAATAAGAACTCTGATATTTTTCACCTTGTTAGAAGTTACTGTGTTAAATGTTTAGAGGAAACAACCACTTTCTATAATTGATTCCATATAATCAATAGAACTAAAAAAAAGAAATAATTTCATCAGTGACTCTCACTAATGACACATACACAAATTTGTGTTATTTTCAGAAATTATAAAATTACTTGTGGACATGGTTTTAGTTTCTATGGTCCTATATTAGCAAACCCAATATAACGTTAAATTTATATAACCAAATTTGACCACATTTTCTGCCCTTCCTTTATCAAAAATTATATTCAGATGCCTAGATATTAAATATAAATTTCCTTCCAAAATCACATAGCTCTAATTATCAAAAACTGAATACTGCTGCTAAATCTCTTATATTCATACTTTTAAATCAAGTAAGATTATTGTGCTGTGAACACTCTCAGAATTGACTTCATATATAAAATGACCTTTTACTTATATATGCATATTTTCATAAGATAATTAGAGCTACGTGTAAGTCAGAGACCAGTTATTTTCAGATGGTGACATTTTTCTTCAGATGGTCAAATAAGCCTTGCTAAGGAGTAGAGGCACATTTCAAGATCAGAGCGTGAAGTTTTTGAAATAAAAGATCCAAGAAATATCTGAAGGTACCAAGTTCGAGACCTTTCTAGTGTAATGTTCAAAATTAGCTTCTCCTTAGCTTACTACTTTATTCCAAATATATCTAATAGTCACCAGTTCTTCAGAACTCAGATGCTGTGTGTGTGTGTATGCATGTTTATGCATGAGTGTGTGTGTGTGTGTGTGTGTGTAGGGAGGGTGGGGACAGGAGGGAGTAAAGAAAATGAATAGTGAAACACAATGAAAACCATCCTTCTTAAAATTGGCAGGTAGGACCTTTCAAGTACAAAGGAAAATCTGAATGTCAAAGCTTAAGACTCAAGATTATTAAAAATTAAGTCATAAAGCCCATTTTTTTCTCCATAAAATTTTAACTACCATGTTCACCTGTTACTTGTTAAATGACTTATTCGTGAAGCTCTAATATTTCTGCCCATGACTAGGAAATACAGAAGTTCTTCTTGTTTACAATATTTTTTTGCCCCCAGGAGGCTGCTTCAGTTGGCAGCAGGGATAGGAAAGTTTGGTAAGAACAGTTGAAGAGGCACAGATGACCCTTTGCTGAGTCTCTAGAAGAGGTATTTGCTGGACTTAACTGCTCTGACCAACCTTAAGGACGTTCTTTCAGGGAGAAGAAATGACATGCTGGTCCTTGGGTTTACTTCATTAGCAGAGCAGACAGAACCAGTTAGAAGCATCTCTCCACTCCATCTCATTTTTGGCAGAATAGAACAACAAAAAGGAATGGATTTAAGAATATGAGGACATCTTAGACTCTGAAGAATATGGTGCTTATGAGAGGAGAAGGAGGTGGTGAGTGGAGGAGGGGTGGATGGAGTAAATGTGATAGGAAGATGGCACTAGAAGTTTGGTGGTGGGTGAGTGAAGCATGTCCACATATCGAGTTGTGAAGTTGTCCTCCTGAAATTACAGAGTTTTGTAAATGAACGGCAATCAATAAAATTGGATTTAAAAAAAAGAATACAAGAATTATGTTGTTTTCTTAGTTTTTTCTTTTTAAGATCTCAGAATTCAGTGTGAGTGTGTATATATATATGTATCTATCTATTTATGCACATATATATATGAATATGTATTCTAAATTTATTATGAACTTCAATGGGGCTTTTTAAAGCCTGTACTTTGGGTTTTTCTGTACTTCAGCAGGTTTCAGGTCCCAATTTCCCATTTTCAGATTGCAGGCCTGTTTTCAAAGGACAAGTTTATGATTTCAAATCTAGTCTGTATACACACACTCACACACATCAACATATAGAAAGACAATTTTTTAAGCACCATTTCACATCTACCATCAAGAAAAATAGTGAACAAATTCATTTTCTCATTAATTCTACTATGAAGATAATAATGCAATATACAATGCCAAATATAAATATCAGTAAATTAAAATACTGCTAGAGCCTAAGACTCTGCTCAGAAATATTTAAAATGTAGGGCTCAAATAATTGTGTAGATCCAAACACATTATCCACTGATTGGGCTTAATGATTAAACAAATGTGAAAGAATTTATTTCAAGGTCAAATAAATAAAATGAAGAGAATACTAAATAAAAAATTAATGAAACAATAATCTTTAGCCAAACACATACAGCACTCTGCAATACAACTCTTTTTATCCTTGATAAAATGGCCTGACCCAAAACGTTAAGTACAAAAATGGAAAACATCTACATACTTCACTTTTCATCTATTTTTAAGGCTAACTGTTTTAGGAAGACCTTTGCTTTAAAGGACATTGGCACATCAAAGGATAACATGGCTCCCTAATTTAAAGATATGAAATTTAGATAATTGATGAATTGTTTAATTAAGAAAGAAGTCACTACCTAAATAAAACCTTGGGAACAAAGGCTGGTTAAACTACTCATTTATTTGCTTACTGCTTGACTTTACCCATGGACATTCAACTCAACATTAATGTAACACTTGCAATATGTAAAAAACTGGTTATGAGCCATTATGTTATATCGAACTGTATTTTTGGAGAACAACTCAGCTATCTCAACTACCTATTTTACAAATTATCAACAATAACATTTAAAATGTAGCTTCATTCCTACTACCCAGTGCACACCAAGATAATCTCCCCAAACTTCCAGCTGATTAATATTTAGGGAATATAAGATTAAAAATCAAACTTGAAAATGTAAATCTGCTTGGAAAATTAAAAAAGCACACAAAGCAGCTAAAAATTAATTTGTTTCTGAAAATACAGTATTTGGTCATCTCTGACCAAAAACTGATTATATAAACACAGAGACATACACACACCCAATCTCTCTCTTCGTGTACACAAATGTATGCATGCACACACAAATGCATCTGTAATCTCACCCATTACATTTACATTTAGTATATTGGTATTTAGACAGCTGAACTGCAATCATGACCTAAAATATGGCTTATGTTGTGGGCAGGTCTGTTTGAGGACTGCTTGGAAGAGTCAGAAGCAGAGGAGTTTGCTATTGTAAGCAAAGGTGACATTGCTGAGCCATCAGGAAGAGCTGTAGCTATTTCTGGAAACAAAGACGTCATATTAAAATTAGATAAGTGAGAGTTCGTCATGTGCATTGGTGGCATATCAGGGAGAAGAGGAAAACTTGGTTGAGCAAAACCAACAGGTCTGGGAGGAGATAAAATTGATCCAAATCGGTTATTTAAACTTCCACTGTTCACCTTCTCTGTACTAGGATTTGAGAACATTTGATTAGAAAAATAGGGAATTGAAATATCATTGGACAATGTAGGATGAGCAGGGGAATATGGGGGATAGAAGGAGGGTAGAGAATTTTGGGGATCTACAGGGATGAGGGCTGGAGTTCGAGTGGCACTAGGCTGAGTAACCTGTGGAATGAAAGAAGTATTAGCATTTATTGGTGGATTCATGCCACCCTCAGGAATAAAAGGAAAACCAAAATTTTGTGACAGTGTATGTTGGTCAGGTGCTGAATTATCATTAGGTACTTGTGGGCTATCTGGCATGAAACGAACGATACTTCCTCTCTTCTCTGTGGTGGCTTGTTGGCGTCCAAGAATCATACTACCACTTGTAGACAGAGGGAGGTGGGGAAGACTTGGATCAAAGACATTACTATGTCTTTGGTTTCCAGAACGATTCCTTTCTGGTTGACGAATTTTAGAACCACTGCTGTCTTGCAAGGGATGCCTCGATCGCTGGGGAACTGAAGAACTTGTTTGACGTACAGGAGGCCCTTGATCAGCATTTCCATGAGACACAGATGGATGTGGCAAAGCTGGCCTGGCAACCCCATGCATGTTGGTGGTGACTGGAGGGTTCATATGGCCCTTGGTGCCATGACTGTCAGTAATCCGCATGGGATTGGATTTCTGTACGGAAACATTGGGGCTTGTGTTTCGACCTTGAATATCTCCTGAAGAAGAGGAACTCGAAAAAGGAATATTCAAGGTGCTGGTCCTGGTGTTAATTGCACCTAGGTTCATGTCACAACTTTCCCTATTCTGACTCTCACTCTCTCGTCTAATATGTACACTTTCATGAGTCGGAGGACAACTGTATTCAATTGCAGAGGATGGCCCACACTGTGTATTCCTCTGATGTTCTGAGAGTGACCTCTGGCTCCCAATGACTTGATCACCAAGGTGAGGCGCAAGTAAACTCTGCATGAAACTTTGGTGACATGTGTTTTCACTCTCCCTTGGTGGGATAGCATTTCCTGTTGGTATGCTCTGAACTGGTGGATAAGGTAACCTCTTCTGACGGTCGATTGGTGGGGGACCAGGGTTTTGACTAATTCGAAAAGCCTGGGACTGCATACTCCTCAGTGATGATACTGGGTTGCCTATTTCATTATTTCTTGAAGATTGTACTTCAAAATTACTCTGAGGCTGTTGACTGGCTCCACTTGGCTTAAATGTCTGACAGTCAGAAAGGCGGATATCTGAGGCAACCGTGTGGTCCACACGGCCTTGCATATTATGAATGGCCAGACTCTTGTTTCTGGGAACCTCGAGATAGCTTCTCATTTCAAGCTGATCCGATACTCTGGAACCCTGAATCGATAAACCCATTCTCTGTTCTGAATTAGAGGATGTCTTTCCAATCAGTGCTTCAGCAGAGTAACTTGAAACACGATTTCTCTCTGGCCTGTGTGGAGTACAGGTCATGTCTGAAGGTCTGGTCACAATACTTGGCTGGGACACCATTTGCTGTTCTATGCCTCTTGATGTCAACAGTCTCTGCAGTGAGTTATGCCCAGATACATGTTCAGAAGAAACCCCGGAACCTTGCTGCCTACTGCCAATATCCTGCTGCTGGTGCATAATGTCTTGACTGAGATGGTTCTGGGGATGGTTATGGTGGTTCCGGCTAGTTGAAGGGTTTTCACAGCTCTTCTCTGACTGGGAGCTTCCAAAGTGTTGCTGCATCTGCTGCTGCATCTGCTGATGGTGGGGATGTGGCTGACCACTCTTGGGTCGGGATTGGTCAGTTCCATGGTGCTTTGGCTGTAAGGAAAGCTGAGAGGCTGGAGTGCCCTGAACAAGATTTCTCTTTTTCTGCATCTGCACTTCCTGTTGCAGAGTTCTCTGTTGGTGGACATTATGGGACTGAGAGTGGACAGAGCTCTCTGCATGAGGTACATGATGCTGCAGTTGATATAAGTGATGCCTCTCCCTTAACTGCCCTGCTTGCTGCTGTTGCTGCTGCTGCTGCTGCTGCTGCTGCTGCTGCTGCTGTTGCTGCTGCTGTTGCTGCTGCTGCTGCTGCTGTTGCTGCTTTAAGTAGAGATGATTACTGTGAAGGTGAGATACCCCTTGAGCTGGAACATGCTGTTGCAGGGCCTGCAGGTGTTGACTGGCCTGGTTTTGCTGCTGCTCAGCAACAGAAGGCTGAGAACTGCACTGAACTTCAGTTGGCCTCAGTGCAGGGGCCACAAAGTTGTTACTGGGTGGAAATAAGCGTGTCAGGCCATCTCCATGTGGTGGGTTGCTAACAGGCACAGCAGAGTTTGAAGAGTTTGGAGGGAGCTGACTAACCATCATTTGAGTTTGATCAGATATGCTATCTGGAGTTTGGTTCATCAAGGGCATATTTTCCAGGCGGAGGGGGGCTGGCTGACAGTGCTTCTGACGTTTAGCTGAAGACAATAAAAGGTCATCTTGGACGGCACGTTTAGTGGAGTCTTTACGACTTTCATGACTTGGCTTTAAGAGTGGTTCCTGAATCTGTGAATTTGGTATCGTGCCAGTAATAGTGTTTAGCTGTTCTTGGGAATAATCTGTCATCAGAGATGGTCCAGGAGGCTGACTGGCATAGGAGTTAGATGAAACGGTCAGATTAACTGTTGTAGGAACAACTCTTTGCTCTGAAGTTTGGGATAAACCAGCACAGCTGACCAGAGGATGGCTGATGCTATTCTGATGGATGAGATTATTCACACTTAAACTGGTAATGCTTGGTGGTTGAGAAGTTGAAACTTGTAAAGAGGCATTTGATGTTTTAATTCCTAGAGAACAACTTGGTTTTTCCAGGGGCCTATCCACAGCTGCTTCAATTGAATCCTGTGAATTAAATTCATTTGGTGTTGCTTCTGCCTGCCCTGGGCCATTCTCTTTAGATATCTGTGTTTTGAAAGGTTGGTCGCCCTCTAAAGATGATGCTTCAGTAGGCTTGGCAGTAACTTCCCTTATATCAGCCTGGATGCCAGCTCTTCCCTTCTCAAGGTTCTCCTGGTCAAAAATAGCTCTTGCTGCAAGAGCAACTATATCAGTTTGCTCTACAAAGGTACAGCTGTCGCATGTATTAGTTGTCGCACTGCTGGTCACATCCTCTCTAGTTGTTTCAGGAAGCATGGATGCAACTGAGAAACTCCGACTACTGCCAGAGCTGGTTGACATGGGAGAGTCAGCCTGCCTACTGGTGAGCAAAGAACCACTAATAATCTCCGGATCAGGGATGCAGGAATGATGCTGTCCCAAGTCTCTATCATCACTGTTTATCAGTAACAGTTCCCGCTTTGGATGTAAATCAACACTCGAATCAACTATTTTAGAATTTTCTGAAGAAAAGTCAGGATGGTCCACCTGGACTGAAAGAGATGATTTCTGAGAGTCTTTTTCTTTAGACAGATCAGATAACAAAGCAGTTAGGCCCTGGCCCTTTAAGAGACTTGTGGACTGTATTGCATCTGATGAGTCTTGTTCAACTCTGCAAGGCTCAGCAATGATTTCCACCTCAGAAACACAGTCAGTGCTTGTAGTGTTTGTGGTAGATGACAAACCAGAAACCTGAGAAGCCAAAACATGGGGCTCATTTGGAGATGGAATCAACACGTTGGTCGAAGCGCAGGATTTGGTGGTATCTGAAAATGCCAAGCCAGTTGGGGACCTATCCGGAGATGTCTCTCGTTGTAAAGTGGGGACAGGATCTTTGGATTTTTCTGGGGCTGCGGCAAAATGTTCACCTGATACAGATTCTTGGGAGGGTGAGCTAGACTCTTCTGCTGATTTTGATTTGGATACAGACTCAGGTATCACTGATTCAGAATTCAGAACACCCAAAGAATGTGAACCAGAAGCACTTAGACCATTTGCCTGGGACATAGTGACAGATGGTAACACAACAGGGAGGCTTTCCAGCAGTCCTTCATTACATGATGGCTCTGCTGAGCCTTCTGTGCTGGGGCAGTCTAACTTGCCCACCTCTCCCCTGACTGGAGTCAGGGGACTTGCTGTCTTGTTTGCTGCTAAGTGTTTCTTGGCACCTGGCTTCTTATTCAACCTTTTGGACTTCATGTTAGACAAAGAAGCTACAGTGTTCGTTGAAGAAGTAGTCACTAGGCTGTAATTACTGGGTAGTGTGGCTGAATTATCTGCTGTCATGGGAGATACTACAGTTGTTGTTAATGAAACACAGTTAACTGGGGTGGTTTGACTATTTGCGGCAGTATGAGAATTGGCAGGCTGGCTAATAGACAATTGTACACAGCTTTGCCCAGCCATCTGTGATATGCTTTGATTGAGGCTGGCCAGTGCACCAAATGTATTCAGGGCAACATTGGTATTTGGATCTTCGCTGGTGGTGGGTTGAATAATTTGCATAGGGGTTTGATTTGTAGTTCCTGATGAAGACATCACAGGTTGCAAAGCAAAAAGCTGTCCATTTAAAGAAATGGTTTGAGGCTGTTGTTGGTTTGACATGGTAACAGAAAAAGTTTGGCTCGAATTAGATGTTGATAAAGATGAAGGTCTTGGTAATATGTGGACAAGATGCTTTCCTCCAAAAGTCTGTGGGGTCGAAACATTTTGCACTGAATTATTACACCCTATTATAGCATTGGCTCCATTGACAGGGAGACGAACAGAAGCAGGAGGTGGAGCAGAGAGGAGTGGCAAAGGATTCTGATTAGCTGCTTGTATGATTACTATCTGCTGACCTACTGTTTGGTTGGGCACCTCTGCCCTCATCACTGTTGGGCATGGGGTGGTGCTGGGTGGCTGAAGAATAATAACATTTTGATTAGTTGGAGCTGCATTCACCGCTGGCCCAACAGGCTGAGCCATCTGAATCACCTGCATTGCTGAATTCAATGGAAGGATATTTTTTGGAGGCTGAGATTTAACTTGTGGCTGGGCAATTAGTGGCTGCATAGGTAAAGATGGACAGGAAGGCAGGGTTACAACTACTTGCTCAACTGTTTGCCCATCTGTTGGAAAGGAGTTATTCAAGGTGACACCTGCAGCCGCATGTCGACTATGGTTGCTTGTGGTGGGACTAGTCCCAGACTCACTTAATACTGGAGTCACAGCAGAAGATGGTGTCTGGCTTAAGGGCTGAATAGTGTTTCCTGCCAGTTGCAAAGTAGTCCACGTTGTCTGCGTGTTGCCAGCTGAGGAAATTCGAGTAAGGCTATTAATGTTTTTCAGTTCTGAAGCACTAACAGCTGAAGAAGGCAAAGAACATGAGAGGGTCCAACCACTGTCCAAAGGGTTTGCAGAAAGAGTGCTTACAGGAGTGGTGGCCTTTCCTCCTCCGGAGGCAGATGATGGCACCACTGTGGTAACACTTGTGGAGTCTACACCCTTGCTACTGTTTGCTGGACAAGAATCGCCTGAAGATCTGGGAGGCTGGGAGCAGACCGTGGTGGTGACTGAAACAACAAAAGTGGTTTGGAAATCACTTCTGAGGTCCTGTGTGCTCAAGCAAGGCTTGCCTGCATGGTGCACTTTTGTGGCAGTCGCTGAGGGGCTGGAGGGGGTGCTTGTGGCACAAGGAATTGTCTTCTGCAATAATTTGGGGCTCTCTTGCCCATTCTTATTTTCAGAAGAATTTTGATCATTTGGAGATGTATGCAAGGAACGATGTTGGTGAGTCTCAGGCCCAATGGAAACAGCGATCAGTGAGCCACTGGTGGCACCAAGCACACTCGATTCACTCTCAGAGGTGGCAAGCTCGAGAATATTTTGAGTAGAAATGGTAGCAGGAAGACAAAGAGGAACAGGCTGGTTGGCAGCCAATGCAGAAACCGTGGTCTGGTGCCATGGCTTTTCAGAAGGGTAAACTCCAGAAATAGACACAGGAGTCACAAGATTGCAAGTCCTCTGTACGGGCACCACATTGGCAGTTTGCTTTTGTAAATTATGACCAACATTAAAGGTTATCCCCTGAACAGCTGTTCCCTGGCCATTTCCACCAGGCTGACTCCCATTGGAATAAACAATAATATTTTTTTGAACCTGGTCACTGGGAATAACAACAGAGACCTTTGAGTTTTTAAGATTTCCTTTCCAGTGGATTGTAGGGTCATCATATAAGCATATGTCATTTGCTTTCAATAATTCAATGTATCGGCCATTTTCCTTTTGAATTTCTTCCAGTTGCTTGCGAAGCTTTTTAATTTCTTCAGCTGTAATAGAAAAATTAAAATGAAAAGGTACCTATAAATGTCAGTATTTATAATAACTTAAGAAAAAGCTATGTATCAAACTACTGAAATCTAATTCTAGCATTCTAAATATTTCAATTGATAACCTTCAGTTCTTTTCTAATACAAGTTCTTTCTTCTTCTTAGAGTGGTATCTCAGACCTCTATGCCATTTTTTTTTTAAAGTATATATCTTTAAAGGCCAATAGACCAAAGGTCAATAATTACTCATAAGAGACAAATCTCAAAATTTCAATTTAAAGATTCCCAATAGGGCAGCTACAAAGGTGGAAGCAAGGGAAGCCACATGGATTTCAAGGTAACAGGACAGGAAAATAATGTTGTGTGTCAGTACAATGGTATTTAACTGCTGCAATGGCTAACATCACTTGTGGTGGTAGTAGATAATGTCTTCTCTAAATGATTTTAACTAGTTTCTACTTCACTCTTTGAAACAACAGAGACCAAAAAGAACACGTAAGGAGTAAAGAGGGAGAGCAGAGAAGAAAGCGCAACCGTGAACTTGCATTTCCTTAGTAGAGCTACTGAGTGATGAGCTCTCTGTCACTCCTTGCTCCTTTCAAAGGGAGACCGCGTCACCCATACAGCCCATTCATGGGGCAGCCTGGTGGCTGAGACCACATCCCTGGCTGCCTTGCCACAGTGGTAGGTGGCCTTTCCTTTGCCAAAGGCAAGTAATCCTCTAGGCCAAAGCCCTAGAAGTTAGCCTGCAACGTTAGCATTGTTCCAACAAGGATGAGCTAAAACTAGATTATTTTTCTTACATATTTAAATGAACAAGAAAGATGTCAACATGCCATGCATATTAGAAATTAAGGCCATTATGACGGATCAGATTCACCAGGGCACATTTACTACATGCCTGGTGCTTTTCATTCTTTGTAACATTCAATACCACTATTACTAATAACAGTAACAAAAACAGCAGGCACTTACAGAACATTTACTATGTGCCAGGCTTTACTCTAAGTGCTTTACCTGCATTCTCATTTAATCCATTTACCAACCATGAGATGGGAGTTATCTATTGTCATCACCACTTTCGGATGTGGGACACAGGTTTAGAGTAGTTAAATCATTTGTCTAAAGTCAACAAGATGGGGCTTCCCCGGTGGTGCAGTGGGTTGAGCGTAGCGCTGTGAAGCTGTCTGCAGCCTCTGCAGCCTCTGCAGCGCAGGTTAGATTCCCTGCTGGCCAGGGAGATTCCCACATGGTGTGGTGGACCTCTCCAGTCGTGCCCGCTGCTCCCCTTTGTCTGCCTATTCTGCTCTCCACGCTATCTCTGGTGGATCCTCTCACCCTTCCATGCCTCTGACCTGTACCCCAACTCTTGTATAAAAATAAATCTGAAAAAAAAAAAAAAAAAAGATCTTGTAAAAAAAGATAGTAATAAAAAAATAGTTAACCAGATGGATACTATTATTATCCTCATTTTAAAGACAGGGAAACTGAGAATTGGAGAGGTGAGTAACTGGCCAAAGCTTTGTATAAGTAAGAGAAGCTGAGACTCAAACCCAATGGGCCCATCAGCCAAGGCCGCTGCTCTGACCATCATATTAGACTACCAGGTAGACTGTGAGGATGTTTAAGAGAGCGTTGTATTCAGACTCAAGATGCCCAAGGGCTGCCCCAACCCAGGGCTGACTGTTTGGCTTTTCCTGAAACCCATGCAACTTAACTTTTTTAATAGTTTCCCTTTTACCTAACATAACTTGATTGCTTCAGCTTCATTAGAACAGTCCACACCACTCTGGACTTAACATCCCTTCTACAAAGTGCATCAAAATAGCTACCAAATATGCTATGTATCTAACTATCTGACAGTATCATAAAAAGGGCTCTGGACTATAAATGACTGCTGAGTGAGGTGAAGGCTAAGCTGACATTTAACTAAAAGTAAACAAGATTTCTGAAGGCTCACCTTTTGGATGCATTTTCCTATATACTTCCCACTTCTTATGATAAACAGAGCCCAGCATTGCCCAACCTCAGCAAGTTCTACCTGTGTTTCTTTCCTTTTATTTTATTTTATTTTTTTTAATAGAGGCATGTTTTATTTATTTATTTGCTTGTTTGTTCGTTTTGTTTATACATGCACTGGGTACAGTCAGAGGCGCGGGAGGGCGAGAGAATTCACCAGAGCCAGAGCGGGGAGCAGAGCAGGCAGAAGGACCGAAGTACACTGCTGAGGGGAGCAGCGGGCGGCAGGAGAGGTCTGCACGCCATGTGGGACCCTCCTCCGGTGGCCGGGGAGCAGCCGGGGATCGAACCGGCGTAGCAGAGGCTGTGGGCAGCTTCGCAACCCAGCGCTCAACCGCTGCGCCACTGGGGAGGCCCATTTCTTTCCTTTTAAAGTTATCTACTGAGTTGTCACAGGAAATTCTCTCTCTGCTCATGTCAGATCCATAAGTAAAGGACGATTCAAATGGGCCTACCCCTATGAGCTTTATATTGGCCTGGAGTATTTTTCTCTTTAGCTTTTATAAGGAAACCTCTTCTTTAGTGAAAGTACAAAAACAGAACACAATGGAGTGCAGGGAAAAAAAACCACCTCTATCTAAAAACCCAATATCACTAAATGATCAGGCAGTCTGACACACACATGACAGGAAGAATAAACAAGTGTAAATGGCCTGTTACGGCCTTTTGAGTAACTTCACAGTTAAGTCTTAGCACAGGCATATCCTAGTCTTGTTTTTTTTTTTAAAGATTTATTTATTTATGCATACAAGAACTTGGGTATAGGCCAGAGGTGCAGGGGGTGAGAGGATTCACCAGAGACAGAGCAGGGAACAGAACAGGCAGACTGACTGAAATCCACTGCTGAGGGGAGCAGCAGGTGACACAGGAGAGGTCTGCTGTGCCATGTGGGTACCTTCCTGGCCTGCAGAGGCTGAGGAGAGCTTCACAGTGCTGTGCTTCACCCCTTGCACCACTAAGGAGGCCCATATCCTTGTCTTGTTTTTATATTACACTGAGCAGATCTCCCTGCTACTTCTTCTTATGGGATTCCCTGGAAAATCCAACTAAACCAAAGGAGATTCAATATTTTTGTACCATGAGGTATGCAAACATGAAGTGCCCAGAAGAGCCCAAAATCAGAATGATACATGACTACAAGATCAGAGTTGCTCACGAAGGAGGTAAACCTAAATTAACAGATTGCAGCACTGTTCTCCCAGACCACTTGAAAGCATGATCCTAACAATGCTTTTTTTTTTCTTTCCATGAAAAAAATCTGATATTTTTTCAAAAAAATTTTATCGAGTGGGCCTCCCTGGTGGCACAGGGTTGAAGATAGCTGTGTCAAGTTACTGCCAGCCACGGCAGCATGAGTTGGATCCTGGGCCAGCCAGGTAGCTTCCCACATGGCCCTGCAGACCTCTCCTGTCTCACCCACTGCTCCCCTCAGCAGTGTATTTTAGTACATCTCCCTGTTCTGTTCCCCATTCTCTCTGGTGAATCCTCTTACCCCCTGCACCTCTGGCTTACACCCCAGTTCTTGTATGCATAAATAAATAAATCTTTAAAAAATTTTATTTATGTAATATCAATAAAGCTTTTAGGCAAAGAAGCCTTCTCTTCCCATATAAACTGCACTGTGACAAAAACCTGAATATTTAAAAAACAGTAAAAAAGTGAAAATCTTGGGCCCCCCCCGGGGGCGCAGCAGTTGAGCGCTGGGCTGCAAAGCCGCCCGCAGCCTCTGCAGCGCAGGTTCGATCCCCAGCAGCTGGTGAGGGTCCCACATGGCGCGACAGACCTCTCCTGTCACACCTACTGCTCCCCCCAGCAGTATATTTCGTCAGTCTGCCTGTTCTGTTCCCCGCTCTGGCTCTGGTGAATTCTCTCACCCTCCCACGCTTCTGACTGTACCCAGTGCTTGTATAAATAAATGAATAAATCTTTAAAAAAAAAAAAGTGAAAATCTTAAAATCTTTACCTTGTTCATTGTTTCCTCCATTAAGCAGGAGCTCATCATTTTGCCTTTTCAATTCTGTTATATATTTAAAAGCTTGGTCCAGAATCATATTCTTGCTCTGCCAAAGAAAATTAACCATTTAAATGTTTCACTGAAGGGTAAGAACTTGCCTAAGGAAAATCGAAGCTTTGTTTTTATCATGTATTTGTATCTTTTCAAAATTTAAAACAGACACCATGATCAAAAGCTTCTACTGTTCATATTTCATTTTTCATTTACTAAACATTTATTGAGCATTTATTATGTGTCAGGTTCTGGTCTAGAAACTGAGGATTTAATAAATAAATTAAGATCCTGCTTTTGTGGAATATATACGTATATAAAATTAGGTCGTGATGAGTGACAACAAGAAAAATAAGAACAGTTAAGAAGGGGCTAGAGTAATGACAGGTGACTCTGGACTATAAACTGAATGTTTGTGACCCCTAAAATTCATGTTGAAACCCTATTCCCTGACGTGATAATATTTGGAGGTGGGACCTTTGGGAAGTAATTAGGTTATGATGGTAGATCTCTCATGAATGAGATCAGTGCCTATATAAGAAAAGGCATGAAAGAAGTGATAGGTAAAAACTTAAAGACAGTAAAGAACATGAACTGGTAGAAAAATAAAAGAAATGCCTGATAAATAGATTGGCACATATATAGATATAATCATAGGACTGAATAATTCAAACTCTGAATTAAAATCAAGATTTAGGAATTATATGGTACATTGATTATGTAGGAAACTTAAGTACTGGGAATGTGGGAAGAGTTAAAATACAGTAAATAGAAAATTAAGAAAGTGAAAAACAATGAGGCAAAAAACCATGACAGGGAACACAATACATTCTGAACACAGAAACAACTTAGGGAATAATCTGTTCACAAGTAATGAATGAAATAAGAATGGACTCTTTACCTGCTTCAGTGCAGGGGAACATGGGATCAGCTCTCCTATTCTGTTTATCCCAGCATTGATTTTCTTCTTTCTATGCCTCTCCACTAGATAGAGAGGAAAATTCATTTATCAAGCCTTATACTACTACTGCCAAGGCCTTATTCTTCCTATAAAAAAATTTAGGTATAGAAGTCCCTAAAAAAATCTTACCACAGTATATTCTGAAGACAACTCTAAAAAGATTTCTAAAATTATCATATTTCAAGGTTAGAAGGAAACTGATATAAGTAATATTAGCTGTGATCTATAATAATTTTAAAGACTGTGATCTATAATAATTAAATTCAGATTATAAATAGAAATTGCAACACTAATGCCATCTACCCATAGTGATAAAAGGCACTTGAAAGGTAGTAAACTCCTTTTTCTGAGAAGGAGCAATATCCTACCAGGGTTTAATACATCTTTCCATAGATAAAATTCCCCCTAAGTTCCTTTCCTTAAGGAAAGGAAGATATCAATTATGTAGTAACACAAATTAACTTCAAATACTTTTTTCAAGACCTGACTCTAGTCCCTGATAGAAAACAAAATGGATAAAATACACCAACTAGTAAATATAGGCACAGTCATTTCTATACATGCTTATCCAGCTTTGGACTATACTTTCGGTCTTTCAGATAAAAATCAAATTCTTATTTTCTACATTTCTCCCAATAATTCAGGACTCAAAAACCTAATTTAAGTCTGTTGACATTTCAAGTACCTCTAAGTTTTACAGTCTGCTATTCTTTGCTTTCCTATTCCTTTAGGCAGCCTCTGCACATGTACTCTTTATTCAATTTAGAAGAAATATATCTGTACTGCCTCAGTGGGAAATCATTTAAAACACTAGCTCCAGGAATATGTTAATCTTTAAATTATCTAAACACATGATGAGTCAGGAGATGTTAAACAAGTCATTTTCATGAGACTTGAAGGGTGTTTGTTGATTAAAAATGAATAGTTTCCTAAGATAAAATGAATAGTGATTGTATATAACACAAAAATTTATAATCAACAACAGTATAATTTCATTGTGAATATATAAAATGCTAACAAATAAAATTTAAATTGCTTCTACCTGCATTGTGTGTCTCCCGGTTTTTCTTTCTGAAACAAAAAGTAGATAAAAGCAACATGAAAATAATGGGAAAACAAGTTTACCACTTAATATTTTGAGAACCATGAAAGTAAATTTTATGAATTTGCATTTATTGCATCAATAAGAAACACATGAAGAAATATTTTCTGAATACATGTTATGGTATGAAAACCTAACCACAGATACATCAACATAAACTTAGAATTCATAACTTCTAAAAGCAACTAATTCTCTCTTCTTCCAGACCATGAAGTCATTGATTGGGAAGTAATCAAACACTGAAAACCTGAACTATTTGGAAATTCTGACTTAGGAGCTAATCAGTTCTAAGTGATGTGTAAGTAGGTGACTCCTGGTGTTTGTCCTGGCACCTGGTCAGGGGTGGGGCTGAATATGTAAGGAAAACAAGCAAAGGGGAGAAGAAGCATGTCATTCCCAGGGAGGGAAACATGGCAGCCACCAGCACCCGTACACAGACAGTTGATATTTGAGCCATTTTTTACAATTGTGTACCTTAGGTTATCCAAACTCTTAAGTTTTCTTAAAAGCCAATCTACTAAAAATATTGATTTTCCCTTTTATGTAAAATACATTAGCATTTTCTAATAGCTCTTTGGTAACAAAAGGGAATAGGGACTTTAATATTAATGGGAACATTGGCCATGCAATTCTAAGCAAGAGACATTGCCCAAAATGCTAGAACCAGAAATAATTTGTACTGATGCACATAGTGGCATTAATGGATTGTAACTGCACAAAATGTCTATTCAAACTGACTTCACATAAGTGAACTTAGGACCTACAAAGACTAATATTATAGACAATTAAATTTTGGGGAAAAACAAAACATTTAGCAGAGATTTGGTATATACTATTTTAACTACTGAAAGTCATTCTTGTTGCACTGCTCATAGACTAAGGAAGTCAGGTAAATTTTAACTATATATCCTTCAGTAAGTCTATTTCTATTTATCCACATAAATTTTTAGAAGTAATAGTTTCCTTGGCATCCAAGTGAAAGTCCTCTAAGAACTCCCTATTTAGCAAAGTAGAGACACATTTTTGCTTCTTATTTTCCCCAATTGTATTATATTTATACTGGGGCTACATACCTGTGCTGTTTTTTTGTAGGAGTCTCATTCTCTGTCATTTCTGGCATGGTTATAGTGATAGGAACCTTCAAGACATGGAAAGACCACCAGAAAGTTGAAAGTCATTCTAATGTCTTAGAGAAATTGATTAATAGTAATTTGATCGAAATACCAAACTACTAAAAAAAAAAAAAAAAAGACATAGGAAAAAGCAGTGGATGAGGTGTTGTGGACAGAAAAAAATATGAGAAAACAGTACGAAAACAGTGTAACTGTTTGGAGTTACAGTACAAAAACAGTGTAACAGATAGAGTATGTCATAAATGGCAAATGTGAAATACTGGAGGAGAAAGGAGCAGAGAAAGATCATTATGGGACTGGAAATCAAGAAAAGCTTAAAGGGGAGTGGATTTGAGCAAGGCCTGGAAGGACAAGTAAAACACACTTGAGTTGGGAGAGTGTGTTCTTTGTTCATGATACTGTTTGACGCATAACACAACATTGAAACTAGAATAATGATCCCCCTTTCTGAACACAGGAAAAACAAAAGTGAGAAGCATTCATTCCTGCACACATTTGCCAGGTCTTTTTCATTTCAAATCACTACATTATCATTTGAGAATCATTAAAATCTGGGTGTAAGTATGAAAATTCTGTTCATATTTAAAATATCAGGATATTAAAGAATGTACATCCTTTAGGGAAATATACACACTCACAAGAAAGGGCTAAAGGAAATATATTAACATATTAAGGGTAGTAATGTAAGGCCAAAACTATCATAGGAGACTTCTTTCTTGTCTCTGATTTAAAAATATCATATGAACTTTAATTTTTATTTATTTATTATTTATTTTTTCTCTTCTGAACTTTAATGTTGTTAAATCATGGGGATTGATGTCACCAGAGCTTTCCGTCAAGCTGGTGCAATGCAGGAGGCACAGTGTGGTTTGTCATTTTCTTTCTGAGAAAGGAGGCAGCAAGTATGGAATTGAAAATTAGAAAGCACAAGTTGAAAATACGGTTCTGCCACTGCCTGGCTGTGAGGTCTTAGGCCAGTTATACAACCTCTTGGAACTTCAGATGTTTCGTCTACAAAATGGACCATAACAATCCCAGTATTTAGATCACTGCGTAGTTTTGAGAAGGAAAAGAAAGACTGCAGGGAGAGCACAGCAGTGTGTGCCTAAGAGTAATATGAATTCAGAAACTCTTGGCTATGAATATTAATGACGGCATCACAAGTTACAGCTTTAGTCCTGGAAAGGAGGGGAAAGGGTCCTTGGAAATAAGTAGATGTGAATACAGACAAGATGATGGCAGAACGCAGTCAGAGGAGAAAAGTGCACTGAACACCCACTTCCACCTTCTCCCTAACATTTATGCAGGTCTATGTATCAGCCTAAACACAACACATTAGATGGCTGTAGGATGATAGTGTGGAGCTCAAGTAAATAAATCCTTGTCACTTTTCTCACCCAAGGCTTGCCGAATTTCTTCACTTTTGATTTCTGGCATCCAACACCTCCTGTTTCTCATCAAAATCTATCATCTTCTGCCAGAAGATGGTCTATAAGTTATATTTTCTTCTTACTACACAAGAGAAAAATCAACAAATGTTTACAGTTACTAGGTGTTCATTAAAACAAGGACTGTGACAACCTATGGCGTGAGTAAGACTTTAGTGGCTTATAGGATGATCCCAAATTCTCCCAATCACTTGAAACCTAATCAGTGTTGCTACTTTCAGAAGTCACTTTCCAAAGAGTTACCAGTGTTCCATCTCCACAAGGAAGGTAGGGAGTCCTGCAGTCATGTGATGGTCCCCAAGAGGGGATCCCTCTTTACTCTCACACATGCTCCCTGCCTCTTAGGTTCTCCTTGCCCTTCTCCCAGTCTTAACGCTAAGCTCTGTCCTCAATTTCAAATTATCATTCCTTCAGTGTCCTATTCTCCTTCCTCTGGTGATACTGAAAACTTACTCAAGGACATTCGACTAGAAGACAATCCTCAGATCTGTACATTGTATGTGCTCTAAAAAAATGTTGGTTAAGGTCTGGGTATCTGTATTTTCAACGAGCTGTCTGGTCTGATTTCTTTCTTTTTCTTTTCTTCCTTTTGGAGGGAGGAAGTCAAGTGGGTTTTTTGTATTTTTTTTTTTTAAGATAAAAGTTTGAGAAACAGTTCAACTTTACGCCAATGATTCCTAAACATTCCTGATTAAGAATTATCTGAAGGGGGCCTGCTTCCCTGGTGGGGTTAAAACACAATCTATGAAGCTATCCGCAGCCACTGCAGCACAAGTTCAATCCCCAGCAGGCAGCTACTCACATGGTGCAGCAGACCTCTCCTGTCTTGCCTGCTGCTTCCCTCAGCATTGTATTTCAGTCAATCTGCCTGTTCTGTTACCCACTCTGTCTCTGGTGGTTCCTCTCACCCCCTCACACCTCTGACCTGTACCCCAGTTCTTGTATGCATAAATAAATCTTTCTTTAAAAAAAAATATCTGAAGGTACTAATTAAAAAATACAAATTCTCAGCTCAACCCAGACCTACTGAATAGTTCTCTACAGGAGGAATTTCAATCTCTAAGAGAGGGTTCTGAAATTTAATGAGTGCCCCAGGTCATTCTTAACAGGAAAATTGGAAACATAGGTATGTTTCTTTATTTATTTACGTTGTTCAGATCATGCAGAATTTATTTTATCCTCCCTCTCCACCACCACCATCCCTTATACCCTTTTAACCCTTTTTTTCTTCCATCTCCCACTTAACCTCAAAAACTTCACTTGGTTTATTAGCATCCACTAGTTTTAATAGGTATTTTGCTTTCTCAAATTGTCCACTATGTAAATGTCCAATATTTGTCTTTGTCATCCTGACTTGCTTTGCTGCACGTAATTTCTGAGAATTTCTTCCATTTTGCTGTAAGTAGCAACATTTCATTTTTCCTTGTAGCTGGACAGTATTCCATTGTGTGGATGTACCACATTTTTATCCAATACTCTATTAGTGGGCATTTTGGATATTTCCATGTCTTAGCTTTTGTAAATAATGCTGCAATAAGATTGAGATGATGGCTTCATATTCTTTGGATAGATGCCCAAGAGTGTAACAGCTGGTCATACAGTATTTCCATTTTCAGTTTTTTAAGATAAATCCAGATCACTTTTCTAAATGGTTGTACCAGTTTACTTTCCCACAAGGAGTGTAATACAGCTCCTTTTTCTTCACATTCTCTTGAGCATCTGATGTTCAGGGTCTTTTAATATGTGCTATTCGTACAAGTGTGAGATGCTATCGCATTGTGTGTATTTTTTTTTTTTAAAGAATTATTTATTTATTTATACAAGCACTGGGTACAGTCAGAAGCACGGGAGGGTGAGAGAATTCTCCAGAGCCAGAGCGGGGAGCAGAGCAGGCAGAGGGACCGAAGTACACTGCTGAGGGGGGCAGCGGGTGGCAGGGGAGGTCTGCGCACCATGTGGGACCCTCCTCCGGTGGCCGGGGAGCAGCCGGGGATCGAACCAGCACTGCAGAGGCTGCGGGCAGCTTCGCAACCTGGCGCTCAACCGCTGCACTACCGGGGAGGCCCTCGCATTGTGTTTTTGACCTGTATCTCCCTTACTAAAAGCGATGAACATTTTCCCCAGATCTTTCTGGATATCTTCTTTGGTGAATGACAGGTACCTTTAATTGGTGAACTTTCAGGCACCTGACCAATACCCTATTTCAGGAGAGATTATTTGGGATGTGGTTGATCATGTATTTTTATGGTTGACCATGTATTTTTACCTGTAAAATCAGTGAGGTCATTTTTCCCTCGTATCATGAGTTAGCATGTAGCCATTAATATCACAGTGACAGTCATTCCCCTGTAGCACTTTAGAAAGTTTACAGGTTTATGTTACCATTAAGATACATGAAGTAAAATTTCTAATTTTCCAAGCATCTAGAATCTTAAAGTAATAACACTAGCAGCTTCTCACCTGTACACATTCATCGCTCTAGGGTGAAAGTCAGAGTTTAACTGAAAGAAGTATACTAAATGCCAATCAGAAGCATGCAGTTTACCAAATGTCAGTACAAATATCCATCTCAAACAACATTTGAATCAATTCAATTATATCTAATTCAATGCAAAATTATATCATATCCAATTCTGCCTGATACTAAAATTGCATTCCTGATATTAAAAAAGAACACTGATCAGAATAAGGAATTATTTACTATTATTATAAATTCTTGTCTACTTATTTATAAGGGAATAGCACTTTTAATGCATTATTTACATAACCAAGCACAAACATACACTTGAAAATATATGAAGTGCCATGAATTTTTAAAAATTTCAAAATATTAGTAATTTGTGAATTATTATTTTTTATGATAATAAAGATATTTTTTCTGAAAGCAGGGGCCTCCCTGGTTGTACAGGGATTAAAGTTTCAGATATTAAGCTATCATCAGCCACTGCAGCATGAGTTCGATCCCCGACCAGGGAGTTAACCCACATGGCACAGCAGACCTCTCCTGTCTCGCCCATTGCTCCACTCAGCAGTGTATTTCAGTAGATCTGCTTGTTCTGCTCCCCACTCTGTCACTGCTGAATCCTCTCTCACACACACACACACACACACTGCACCTCTGGCCTGGACCCCTGTTCTTATATGCATACATAAATAAGATAAATCTTTAAAATAATTTTTTTCTGAAATTAGTCAAAACCAATGGTTCTCTTTTATGATTATTCCTTTTTGTGTTTTATAAAAAACTTTTATCTGTCTCTAAGATATTCTCCCTTATTGCTTCTACAAGGTTTATAGTATTACTTGACATATTTAGGTCAATAATCCAGAGTATGTATGACATGAGAAAGGGGTCAAAGTTCATTTTTTCCCATATGGATGCTTAGTTGTTCCAATAAAATCTCCTTTCTTCAAAGACATCTTTGTGAAAACTCAAAGGTTCATATAAGTGCAGCGCAATTTCTAGTCTACTCTGTTGTCATCTAATTCTCATCCCTTTTTATGGTATTACCACAGAATGTTGTTTAAGCATATTTTTAAAATATAGATGTCCATGACCCACCCCAGACCAGAACTTGGGAACCTAGGGTAAAGAAATATGAGTGTTTTGGGCCTCCCCGGTGGCGCAGCGGTTGAGTGCTGGGTTGCAAAGCTGCCCGCAACCTCTGCAGTGCCGGTTCGATCTCCGGCTGCTCCCCCGGCCACTGGAGGAGGGTCCTGCATGGCGCACAGGCCTCTCCTGCCACCCGCTGCTCCCCTCAGCAGTGTATTTCGGTCCTTCTGCCTGCTCTGGTGAATTCTCTCACCCTCCCTCGCTTCTGGCTATACCCAGTGCTTGTATAAATAAATAAATAAATCTTAAAAAAAAAATCATAACCATTACAATTTTATATAAAAAAAAAAGAAATATGAGTGTTTTGGTGGTGGATGTGATGTGTTGACATATATCTGAGAAGCTAAAAACTATTCCCCTAAAGCATATACAGTGTTATAAACCAGTGTTACCTCAATAAAAAGAAAAAAAAAAGTCTAAAAAAAAAAAGAATCTTGCATGTGCAAGGTCCAGTAAAAGTTATAATAAGCTTCCTACTTGTCCTTATGCAGCCCAAAGTCTGAGAAATATTACATTGCTATGATTCTTCCACCTCTAAAATTAATGCAAATCAATGAACACACTAAGATGCACATGGTAAGATCAGTAAGCTTGGAATTAAGAAACCTGAGCTCTATTTCTAGATTCGCTACAAGTCAGGTAGATACCACTTTATTTAGCATAACTTAGGGCCTCAGTTTTTTATATATAAAACAAGAGGTTAGGATAGACTCACTCACTCAAATATGGATTGGGTGCCCACACTGCCTAGGAATTGCAGATACCAAGATGAATAAGGCATTCCTGTTCCCCATAAGAAAACAGTCTAGATCGGGGCTACCCAAAAGAACTTCGTACAATGGAAATGTTCATCTGTGCTGTCCATATGGTCGCCATTAGTCACATGTGGATATTAAGTGATTTTAAACATGACTAGTGGGACCCATGAATTAAATTTTTAATTTTATATTATTTTAGGCAATTTAAATGAAACAGCCACATGTTACAAATGACTACTGTATCATATAGCACAGGGAATGGTAAAAATATGAAATTTTAAAAACTGGTTAACTAAAATCAAATTAATGGTTTTGATATTGTCCTACAACTATATAAGAAGTCACCATCACAGGAAAATGGGTGAAGAGTATATGGACTCTTTGTACTATGCAACTTCCCTGGAGTTTATAATTATTTTGAAACAAAAAGTTTTAAAAAATGAATTAGGAAATTTGTAAGTATTACCTCAAAGACTCATTTAAAAAAACACGCAGGAATGGGCCTCCCTGGTGGCGCAAGGGGTTAAGCACTGCATTATGAAGCAGTCTGCAGCCTCTCCCGGCAGGCCAGGGAGCAACCCACACGGTGAAGCTGACCTCTCCTGTCTCGCCCGCTCCTCCTCTCAGCAGTGCATTTCAGTCAGTCTGCCTGTTCTGTTCCCCACTCTGTCTCTGGTGAATCCTCTCACCCCC